CACTTCAGTAAAGTTATTAAAAAAAATCTATTTTTCTCACAGTGATTACAATTATTGTCACCCCTAGTAATGTAATTGGCATTTATTCTTATGCATATTTTATGTCTGAGTACATCTGAGTCTTAATTGGCTATCCAGCTGATAAATAACAGACTTTTTTTTATAAGTGCTGATCATTTCAGAGGGTCCTGTAGGTATTACTAATTCCACTGTCATGCAACCTGATATGAGCCGACCTGATAAAGCATGTTCTCTTCTTTATATTATGAATGATCTTAGGGCCGAAACATTTGATGTTTGATTTCACATTTAGTGATTTAAGTACAGCACAAACATGCCTTGATATGGTGCAACACATGGTCACAATACGTCTGAAATGAAGTTATACTAAAGCTGCACAGAAGACCTCAAACCGCACGTAGAAGCGCCTACCACCTTCTCTCCTGAGGCGCAAAGCTTAAAAGACACAGTGAAATAATGGAGGCGTCAAAAATCTCAAGACGAAACAAAAACGAAAGTTCAGTGATGAAAAGATAGTGCTGTGAATAAATGAAGCTCTTTCCTACTAAAACATTCCACAGTGGTGTAATTCAACTCCGGCTAAGAAAATAGAGTTTGTGAAGCAATAACACAGACTATAAGCGAGGATTGCAGCCGTAACACGGCATATTTTGCTCTGCGTCTTCTCACACATTTACATCTCAGCTTGAGGGCTGAAATCGGGCTATTTTGATGGTAAATAATCTCATCCTAACCACTGACTGCTCCTGTTGTTAAAGGAGGTCTCCCAACAAGTATGGCTTTAAAAGGTGGAAACAAATCAATATGAAACATGCCCCAGCTAGACGCTGGAGCTTCAGCAAATATGTAATCAGCTGAATTTCTAATATTACAACAGACAGAAATGCAGTTTGCATTTTCCCATGCACTTGTTCCATAAATGTACCAGTTTTGTACATAACATGCCAGGGATGCAGGAAGGCGTTCTAAGCTGGAGGTGCTGAAATGTAAAGCAGCATATCGCTGCTGTTGAAAGAAAACCTTGTATCTCTATTTTTTGGTCATTTTTCAGTTGGACCGCAGAGTTGGTGATACCTACAGGACCCTCTGGAATGATTAGCACTTGGTCAAGCCAAGTCAAAGTTTATTTATATAGCGCTTTTTACAGAAAAAAACGTACACTGCAAAAATGTGCTTTACAGAAAAAAAATGCAAAAAATGGTACCTTGTCAAGTTAAATTATCTTAAACATAGTCAATAAATCTTAGATTGTTGAAAGCTTAATTCAAGATTGTTTACCTTATTTCTAGACATTTTTACTTGTTTTAAGTGATTTTATTAAGGAAAATTATCTCACTACATTGGCGGATAATTTTGCTTGTTTTAAGAAATGTGCTTGAAACCAGCAAAATGATCTACCAGTATAGTGAGATCATTTTACTTAATAAAATTATCTTAAACAAGTAAATAACATCTAGAAATAAGCTAGACAATCTTATAATAAGTGCACAACCATTTCAAATTAGGAAATATTAGATATATAAACTAGATTTCAGATCATTTCACTTGACAAGATACCAGCTGGATAGCCATGGTAGCTTTTGAAAATATATAAATAGAAAAACTGCGTCCCTCTAACATGCATCCGATTTACGCATGGAACTTACGCCAAAGGCTTAGTACATCAGACCATCAGTCCTCAAGCAAGTTGTTTATTTGGTCAGTGTCAGGAGCTGCAGTCTGCAGATTAAAGTGTTTTTCCTGCTCCAACACCCCCAACCGGCTAATTATTTGAGGCTTTCCTAAGTAAAACTGTGCATGTTAGAGCAGGACAGGCACTAAACTGTACAGGATGCCGTTACAGTAGGAGCTGCATTGATAACTATTGTGTTAGGTCATTGTCTCTGGTTATTTAACCATCATTCATGCATTCCAGAGGGGAGTGCAGTTAGTTCCCTCTTGGCACAGACAGCCTCTGCGACTGACCACGCTGGTTCACGCTCAATGAGACATGACATGGCATGCCATAAAGTGAACCCACATGTTGACCTGTTTAAGTGCAGGCAGGTAGGGGGCCGTCTGCCTGCTGCCACATTTTGCTCCCCCTCATTGACTCTCGCCGTGTGGTCCTCCTAATACACAGATCAGTTTCAAGGTGTGTGTGTGTGTGTGTGTGTGTGTGTGTGTGTGTGTTTGTGTGTGTGTGTGTGTGTGTCAGGTAAAGGAGGACCCTGCACTGCTCTCATGAGTGCTTCAGAGCACACCAAGGCCCCTGACCTGTAATCAGATCTTTGGATCTTTTGAAATATATAATCCCACCCCTGCACACACACATACTCACATACACATAGACACAACAAATAATTTAAGATACTAATAACTTCTTTAAAAGTTCCTTTGGTACAGTACTGTTCATCCCCACTGTGCACTACATATATCTTCAAATATATGTGCACAGTTACAATGTTTTTAATGTAACTGTAGTTTGCGCACATTTAGGTTACCTGTAGATTCTGTTGGTTATGTTACTAGATCAAGCATTGTATGTTTTCTATGTTTATTCTGTATTTTTATTGGAATTATTTATTGGAAATTATGTTGACATCTGCACTGAGAAGTCTTTGTTAATGCCCTGTTTTTGCCATAGATACGAGGTGGGAAGCTGATGATCACCAACACGCGGAAAAGTGACGCAGGGAAGTATGTTTGTGTGGGGACCAACATGATGGGCGAGCGGGAGAGCGAGATCGCCGAGCTCACTGTGCTGGGTATGTAAAGCTCTGAGAAGTTACAATATAGTTTTGTAAAGGGATTGTCAGCCCTGTAACACATGCCCCAAATACTAGTCTTCTTGTCCATCATGTCTTGCATGTGTATGATGCTGCATGTTCCAGAAGGTCTGCATTCTTTGAAGCTTTAAATGTAAAGAAAGCAAGGAATGTGAAAACGCGAAAAACTTTTCTGAGCAGAGTTTAGTCCTGAGTAATCACTGACAGAGTGTGATCTCGCTAAATTCTGCAATAAACATATATATAAGCTCAACATCATAACAATAGAAGAACCCTTTTTGGTGCTACATAGAACCATTTTCAAAAAGGATCTATATAGAACCATATACAACTCACCCTCTATCAACCTGAAGAACCATTTCACCATGAAGAGAACCATGTAAGCATGAAATAGAACCATTGCCTTTACTAAAGAACACTCTTTTTTAAGTGTGCACTTAATGTTTCTGTAGTGTTAAAAATAAGGTTCCGCTTATGGACTCAACTTCTTATGTTTCGGTAGTGACTTGACAGTATTTTTAGAATGCACACACACATTTTCTTAGCCACTTATCCTTCTGGGTATTTTTAGAATAATGATTTTCATTTACAAATTAAAGTCAGGATGAATCAAAATCTTCCAACTTCATTTTGAAAGAAATCAAAAAGATCCTAAAAGAAAAAAAAAACTTTGAAAATAAAGTAAGTATTATTTTCACAAGTTGAAATGGAGGGTTTGGGACAGACACCTCCCATTAGGAAGTACCATGTAAATGATAATGATTTTGTATATATTTGACTCCTTACTGTTAAATGAAAGCCTGAGGTTTAAGTAGATCATAACATCCTCCTTGTAAATATCTAAGGTCTGAATACTTCATTCTTTTTTAAATATTTTTTTTTAACTAAGGGACCACAGCTTGAACTAATTCAGTAGAATTCTCCATTTACACAAATTAATGTACTTGACCTGTTTGGTCTGAAAGTAACATACATAAATACATGCACATCACTGCTCTCAACAAAATATAATACGCATGACAATATGTACATCAGCAAACATGAAAACTCTCACTTACTCTTTTTCTATCTAGTGCTCTTTCTGTGACTGTCTCTCTCTCTCTCTCTCTCACTCTCTCACTCTCTCACTTGCTCTCTCTCTTTATCACTGTCATAGACGAGCACAAGTCATCAGCTGTTTGTTTATATGCGGGGGAGTGTAAGAAATGGTCCAGATGTTGTGAGTTTGCTTTCCTGTCTCCATGACAAGCAAAGGATGTCACTGACCCTCTTAAAGACACACACACACCATGCTGACACATTTGTGCACACACACACACACACACACACACAGTTGAAAAATGTTCCTTTTTTGTATCTTATAATACATTTTTGAATTTCAATTTTGGAAACTTCTGTTTTTTTCCACTTTTTCCACATTTTCCTTGACTTTCCATTTCCTCATTCAAGTCGATTGTTTTATATCTAATCTTATCAGAAATATCTCCTGAAAAATGAATTACTTGTACTTTAAAAAATAACTTGTACTGGAAACTAAATAAATGAAGTGTTATATCTGACTTTGGCACTGTACTACAGATAAATCATTCATTTTACTCTCTTCCACTGACTTTTCTATATGAGTCATGTGTTAAACAGTCCAGGTATCAGACTGTGGCTATGTTGTTTCTGCCAAAGAAAATCTGATTCATGCAATTATGCATAATTTTCTCTTATTGTTATTGTCGCATTGTGATGTTACACTCAGAAATATTGTTAGATGTTTTTCTTCAGTTGAGTGTCTACCATCCCACTCAAATGTCTGAATGTGTGTGTGTGGTGTGTGTGTGTGTGTGTGTGTGTGTGTACAGAGAGACCCAGTTTTGTGCGCAGGCCGAGCAGTCAGTCAGTGCTGGTGGATCAGAGCGTGGAGTTCAGATGTGAAGCTCAGGGAGACCCCTGTCCCCACTGTCCGCTGGAGAAAAGAGGACGGAGAGCTGCCCAAGGGCAGGTACGAATCCATCTGTGTGTCTAATTTCAAACAGACGTGAGATCTGGATATGGTTGCTTGCATTTGTGGAGTCAAAATAAAGTCATGCATTTACAGTCCTTGCATTACTGAAGTCCATATTGACTCTTTTCGAACTGCTATGTGTTTTCAGGTTTGAGATTCGGGAGGATCACACTCTGAAGCTGAAGCGGCTGAGCTCAGCAGATGCGGGCTCTTACACCTGCCTGGCTGAGAACATGATGGGGAAAGCCGAGGCCACAGCCGCCCTCACCGTCCACGGTGAGAGACTTTTAATCCTCTACACAACTTACTTTCGACACTTTTTTAAGAAACTGCATCATATACGGTAGTACAGCAGACAACATAGAGTAGCTAGTAATACATCAACCACTTATAAACAATGTCAGAAACACAGTCTGAAATGTTTTGAAGCATAATGCGAAGTTTCCACTAGGGGTGGACAGGGACATGTACTCCCTGGGGGGATTAAATTGTAATAGCTATTTAATAAACTATTTCCAGCTTTTGGGAGTATGATAAAATGTAACAATCTAATCTTATCTCAAAAATTCTGACCTAAATATGCAATAATTGTATTGACTAATCAATCATAGTTAGCCAATAACCTCCCAAGTGACATACGTTCTATGAAAAAGTTTGAATGTCTCAGTCAAATTACATTTTTGTTGATTGTCTAAATGAAAAAAGTTAACGTATCCTCTGCAGGGTAGAAACTTAAATATTGCATTTTTCTGGAATTATTAGTGTACAATTTCTATTTATTTGAGTTTAACATAATGGGAAAAAAATAAAACATTTAATATAAAATATGTCGTAATTTTTGCACAGTCCACATTTTATGTTTAATTTTTCCCCAATATGTTAAATTAAGTTAAACAGTAATTGTGCATTAAAATGTGCAGAAGTGTGCTCTCTGTAGAAGATGTGTCTACTTATGTTTGCTTAGAAAATCAATAAAACGTAATTTGACCAGGGCGCCCAAACTTTTCCATATGACTGTAATAGGATAAATGAACTGCTTAGAAAAGTCCAGCCAAGGTCAGTTATTTCAACTGGGTTTTCTAGAGAAAAGTTATGGGGATTGATGCTTTCATGTTGCTCTGAGATGAACCAAGTATTTTAGAATATATATTACATACATATTACATACAGTACATATTATTTACCTCAGTAAAACAATATTTTTGTTATGTTTTTTTGGAAGCCCACCCCCACACTCAGAAATTACACCCCCTCCACTTTCCCTGTTTAAAGTTAGAGGTTTTGGGGGAATTAGGAAAACATGGGAGGTCTACGCTGCCCACTCCAAAAAATAAATAAATAAATAAATAAAAAGTATTATATCTTGGTTTGATTGATAAATAGGAACCTGCAACTGTTCAGCAGATCAGTGGGCTACACTCATGGTTACACACCAACTTTGTAGTGTCCCTACATCATTTTTTTGCAGTGATATATTAGTGTTTCATATGGCCACTGCACTGTCTGACACTCAATACACCCCTTTCAGTCACATTAATGCAAAGTGTTAAAGATGAACAGGAAGACACTTGTTAAACTCTCCACCCTGACCTCATAGCTTGGATGGTAACTCTGCTCTGTCAGCTTTAAGGGCTAGATAAGACCATAAGCCTGGTTTGCATAGTCACACTGGAGCAGGAAGTGAAGAGTAAGCCCCTTATCAGTGACACAAGCGGACAGGAGGAGGTTCAGTTTGTCTGTTTTACTCAGCTAAAGCCCATAGGGCCGCTCTCCCATGACAAGAAGTGACACGATTCTAATGACAACAGACTGGGAAGAAGAAAGGGAAACAGGGCTGACAGAAGGATCCAGAGAGAACAGAGAAATAAACACCAAGAGTCAAAATCAGTTGGTTCTAACAATTGGCTGTTGTGACTGATAGCTTCTGACTATCAAACGTGATTTGTATCTTCATTTCTCAATAGTAGCAAACCCAAAATGCATGTGCAATTTACATTGAGAAGTAAAGTCATTCAGAGTTGTTTGATATTAAATGGTGGAGTTAGAGATACTTACTGAGTCTGATTTCTTTACATTGGCGGTGATGGCAAACATGTTGAATAATGCAAATAGAACCAATTTATTTACTAGCCAAAATGATCAGTGAACCAGTCTTCTGAGTTTTTGTATGTAAAGTTGAAATGTTGGTAACATAATGCTAAATCCAACAAGGACACACATTGTCATTAATGCAAAGCCACAAAAGCGATTTGACTGCTAAAAAACTCACTTGTGGTGAAAATTTTCAGCTTGCTAAATGTGAGTGAGTGAGTTACAACCCAGGTCCATGAGGTTCTTCATATCTAAAAATGTTCTCTGTGGGGGATACTTTGCCTAACAACACCCTACATGTATCTTTCCTTTATATTAACCGCTTAAAATTTTATTACACATTAAGCCTTATTATTCAGTAAATACAGAGACTTCATTGCAGACTGGTCAAGCTATTCTTGGGCTATAGAAGTGTGAAATACAACTTTGGGCCTGCCAGTGGGCTCTGGCCATGTAAGGGCTTAAACATTTAATCACCACTGTTTTGAAAAAATCTTAAGTTTCTCTACACTGTTAGAAATAAAGGTTCTGTGCAGGTGCATTTTTCATTCATCAAGGTACAAACAACCTGTAAATGTTCCCTCAAAGGTACAACAGTGGTTTTAAGTCCAATTGTATACTTTAAATAAGTTTTATTTCCAGGTGAAAAGAACATATTTGTACCTTTTCATAACCTAAATTTTTAAAACAGAACAACAAAATAAAAAGCCCGGAGCCGAGACGGGGTGTGTGGAGTCAATACAACTTAGAAAATATCATTTCAATGGATTATGGTACAATAATGTTCCCTGACTGAAGGGACTGAGATGTACCCTTGACGGTACTAGTGACACGAGGGGCACTGCCCCACTGACAGTTTACTACCTTTTTTCCTGAGAATGTAGAACAACACTATTCACATCAGACCACTCTGTACGACTTTATTTACATCTTAACAATTGAATTATGCAGAAGTGTTGAAGTGTTCTTTTCGTTTACATTTACAGCTTTTGGCAGATGCATTTTTTCCCACATATTTCCTCAAATTTGAAATCCAACAGCAATAATGAAAAGCCCATTATTGTGCACAGAAAAAATCCAATACGTAAATGACTTTAAGTTATAATGCTCATTTTGCACCAGTTAGAGGTAGAACATAACAGCTCTTGTCACTGAAACCTTCTTTTCATGGTTTCGTAACTATTGAAGCATACTTTATTACATCAGGATGCACAGCACCACTTCTGACTGCTGCGTGCTCAACAGTAAATTATGACAAAGAAATATTGCTTTTCTGCCATTGCTGTGGCAGACCACTGTAAACATTTAGCTCAGCCGAGTGTGAGTATTTCACACTCAAATCAGCCAAGTCCTCAGCGAACAAAGTCAGCATTGTGCATTGACGCCCCTGAGCAATTTCTTTTTTCCTGCTCAGCTCTGGTTACGAGGGTCCGCTACAAGCACAATCAGTGAGTTATTGTTTTACGTCTATGTTAAGCTGTCTTCGACGCTGGCTCTGCACTTATAAACACGTCAGCTCCGATACCTTGTCCGCTTAGTATAGCACCTTGTAATTGAATGTGCCTTTGGCGCAAGATGCAGTTCCAAGAAACCGAGAGAGAATGATACGTATCATAGATTATTTTAGAGCGGGGTTTGTGCAGAGGGCAAAAGAAATGCTTTGTTTGAGCAGATATCCTTTGTTTGGAGTGGCTATAAAGTTACACATACACATAGATAAATGGTTCGGAATAAAAATCAGCCGTGGAAAGATAATGCAGGGTTACAAACGAGGCCTCCCTCCTGTGGTAATTTAGTCATTAGTGTTGATTTATTTGCGGAAAGCGCTAGAATGCGGTGGAAGTCCCGGGAGTGGCCTTGCTAATGGGCCATGCACTGGGAGCGGAGAGGGTGCTGGAAGCCTTGCCAAAAGAGAGGTGGAGAGAATGGCACCGATTTAGACGGAGCACGCCAAGGCCACTCTTTATCCAGCTGTTCACAAATTCATCAACGCCCTCTCAAGTTCAGCGTCCTTAAAAGTGAACATGTTTTGATTTATCTGATAAATGCTGGGGTTATGAGAGTGTTGTGTGATGTGAAATATACTCTACAATGATCCAGAGGAATGATTACACTGCTGTTTGGTTTGTTTTTTAGATCCAAATCTAGAAAATTGTCCCCTATCTGTCATCTGCATTATAACATTTGAAGCCAACCTTGTTGAATTGAGTCCAGATGCATTAAAGGGGAATTCTGTATAATCCATTTATGCAGAGTCACTCAAAGTGGTTTGATGTTAAATTGGGCATCGTAGAGAAACTTACAGACTCGGATTTCTTTACAGTGGTGGTGATAGTAGCCAGAGGTCACAATGTCTACAATGCACATATATAGCCTTTGTATTTACTATTCAAAATGACCAGTGAACCTACAGGTGTCGTCTGAGTTTATATGCGTAGTGTTGATGATGAAACAGTAATAAATCTGGAAAAAAAAAAGTTCCCTTAACGTCAAAACATAATTGCAAACCTATCAGAACACAGTGTCTCAGGCATCAGGCAGCATATTCACAACCATTTTGTACAGTCATGTGCAAAAGCTTGGGTGCCCCTTGTCAAAGTACTTGTTTTTCCTATATGTTAAACTCAGCAAATAAATAGGAATTGTGCTCTAAAAATTGTAGAAAAATGTCACATTTACATGAGTTGCCTGTGGTGTAAACTTATTATAGCTTAGAAAGTCAACAAAACATATAATTTGACTACAGGGTGTTCAGACTTTTCCATCTGACTGTATAATAGCTATCTGTGAGGTACCTTTAAGAAGCATTAATAGCCTCAGGCTAGTTCCAAACACCACTGCTGTGAAGAGTTCTGATTCTGTAAATTTCTCTAGAATGGTGCATTTTACATCAAACCACTCTGAATAACAGTGTTTACATCCAACTTAATTAATTATGCAGATTTTTGACAAATTCCCCTTTAAGACATGACATTCCCCTTGCAGGCCATTAACTGTAGCAGGAAAGAAACAAAGGCAAGAAAATAAACAGATGAGATGTTTTCTGTATGTTCATTGTACATCTTGACCAATTTTATGTAAGTAATATGTCTGTAAGTGATGGAAAGTGAAGTGTAAGTGTATAGGTGTGTATGTTCACATGCCATGAATTGTTTTTGCTTCACAGATGCATCATTATATTGTTTATTTTAATAATACTGCTCATTTCAGTCACTTTTGGCATCATGTCTTTTATTATACTTTATTTACTCATCTGTCATGTTTTGTTTTTCTTTTTTTCTGTTCTTATCTTTTTCCTCTTTCAGTTGTGTCTGGTAAGTCGCAATGTCATCCGTCACCCTTTTCACTGCACTGACAGCAACAGGAAGTTGTCAGAAGCACCATCCATCCACCTTTCATCCCTCCACCAATCGGCACGCTTGTCTCGGTTGTCATCAGCAACTGGGACAGCGCCGTACGCTCGGGGTAAAACTAATGCTTGTTCCGAGCGCTCAAGGTAATGTTGAAAATTGCCTCGTTTTATTGCTTAGCGCTTCACGTCTTGCTAAATTTTCATCGCTGGTCTTTGGACAAATCACGAGCGTATGAGAATTGACAGGCCCAGAGATTGCTTTCAGTGTTAAAACGTGGCTGCTGGCTGTAAAGAGAACCGGTGGGCAGTAGAGGATGTGGTGATATTGGCTGTGGGGGATGTACCTGCTGTCACTTCTTATTAGCATCTATATCCCTATCAAAAATAGAGTGGGCTTTTCGCACCCTTATCGCTCTTAAGGCGTGGTGTCTCGTCAAAAGCGGCACCCGTTTGACATTGGTGCTCCCACTCCGAGACGAATTCTGTCATTAAGATGCATGAAAAGCCGGCGTCCCGCGCCCAGCCAGCGCTATTAAGCAGTGTCAGCCTGGGACAGATGGCCCAAATTTATCCCCTATTTCAATGGAAATGTTATCGCTCTATGCCCTTGCCCATGCAAATGAAGCAACTGTGGGGGTCACACCAGTTTTCAGTTCATTTACATTTGTTTTCATACCCCCCAGATACATCCCTCTGCTTTTAAGAGGTAGAAGGACTTAACTTTAATCAGCCTCTATATCAGAAACATCAGGCTACATAGTTATGAATGTGAAGAGTGAAGCACTTATATTCCTATGCACTCTTATAAGAATGGTGCTAAAAAGGGTTCTTTGGAGTGATGCCATGGAAGAACCTCTTTTGGTTCCCTAAAGAACCTTTTATTGATTATTTAAAGCAAGATATGAATGTGAAAAAGCTTTTGGCCAACACCCCACCTGCCTACTATAACTTCAAAGTAAATTGCATTGTTTTTACTATGTTATTATTACTGTTATTACTAAATAATAAGCCTTAGGCTGTATTAAGCCTGGTAATTAAAAAGTTAAAGGACCTACACATAATAAAATGGTTCTATACCAATTCAAGACTTTTCCTGGAACTGTATGTCCAAGCCAAGAACACTTTACAAGACTATATAATAGCAGTGAAGGCTAATAGTTTCAGTGCATTGTACTCCTTTTATACCAGCAATTAACATACATACTCTTTTTTCCACACTCTCGCAGTGCCTCCAGTGTTTGCAGTGCGGCCGAGGAATCAGGTAGTCGGCATGGGACGCACTGTGACCTTTCAGTGCGAGGCTACTGGCAGCCCACAACCAGCCATCTTCTGGCAGAGAGAGGGCAGTCAGGTAAGAGAGAAAGAGAGAGAGAATTAGCAGTATCCACAGCATAGATACATTTCTATATTATCATCATCAGAACATGTTATCTGTTTTCCATTCATTAAGAAGCATGGTTGCCAAGTAAAACTGCTATAGATCTGTGTTTTTCCCCCCTAACATCTTTATTTTCCAATGATTTATCATGGCTTGATAATAGGCTCAGCGCACCCCCCTGTCGTGAAGCAGATTTATGGAGTAGACAGAGTTACAGCCCCAGCTGTGCTTATTAAACACACCTCCAGTGCACACAGAAACAGCCCTCAGAATCACACACTCTGTTTGAGAAGGCCAGGCTGAGCTGAAGTGCTCTAGGTTGAGGAGGTGATATTGAGGAGCTTCCTCTGTCATCTTATCTAGAGAATGAGTTTAGCTGTCTGCCTCCTGTTGGCCTTTCATTCTTTTTCAGTAGTAAAGCTCAATTTTAGCTTTGCCTGAGGGCTCAGTCAAAAGCTTCAGTTTATAGTTTGGTGAAAATCAGCCGAGACACATTTAGTCTCTGAACTTTGGTTTGTTAGCCACTTTATCGACATAGCTAATGGAATGATAGCATATATCCACCAATGTAGTGCTGTGCAGACTGCATGCCTAAATCATCACATGCTTGTCTCAAGCTGTCTCAAACTGCATTGAGCTTTTAAGTAATTTTAAATAGACTTGCTTATGTGGTTTCTGGCACTGTATGACATTCTGTTATAAAAATGGACAAAATATGAGCAAAATTCAGGCTACATGACAGCTGCTACTTCTGTCTTTAGTCATACAATATACATAAACAGATCCTAATATGTCATATAGGATCAGAAACCACTTAAGTAAGTGCTTCATTTAACTTGGCAAGGTTAGACATGCAGTTTGTGCAATGCTGACGGGTGATATATATGCTTTCTTTACTTGTTGGCTACATTAGCCTTGTAGCTCTAGTGCATATTTTGAAGAAGCACATTTTGGACACATGTCCTGGCAGGTCAACTATGAATAGTATAAATTTGATTTAGCTAGTTCCAACCATAACTTCAGCGCATAACTTCAGGAGAGATCTCTGAGAGTTTGGGCTTGAATTCCGGGCAGCTTCTGCTTTCAGCTAAGAGGGCCAGACCTCCCCTTGAGAAACAAGAGATGGGACAGAGAGATAGGATTGAGGATATAGGGAGGTGATGAGATTTGAAAATATCATCACAGTAAGTGGAAGGTAGAGGTGGAAATTTGTAGGAGGTTGGGTTAGAAGGAAGAGGAGCTTGAGGCGTGTTCCTCCTCCAAGCCTGCAGTAATTTCAAAACTCAGTTTGTTGCTTCTTTTAAGTACCATTTTCGCCTCAGCCTCACTGTTGTTCCTTCTTTTTCTTCTCCCCTGTGCAGAACCTGCTGTTTTCCTCTCAGCCGCCGCAGCCCTCCAGCCGCTTCTCTGTCTCTCAGACGGGTGATTTGACCATCACAGGTGTGGAGAGGGGGGATGCCGGATATTACAGCTGCCAGGCCCTCAACATCGCAGGCAGCGTGATCACCAAAGCCCTGCTGGAGGTCACAGACAGTAAGAAACATGCTTTTATACACACTGAGGTAGTGCCAGAAGAAATGACAAAAAATATGAAATCCCCAAACTTAAAGCTTTTCATATGTGTCATGATATTTAGTTTTTTTCTGAAGTTTGTTAAGTTGGAACAGACAAAATGCACCATTAAAACAGAAGTGCCATATTTAAAAAATATGGTAGCACTTTATGACACATAGACTGTGTAGACCTGATAATAGGCTTGGCTTTTTTGTGCATGGACCACTGACCATCATATCTGTATGAGCTTGTTGGGAATCCCGTTCCAAATCCATGGACATTAAAATGGAGTTGGCCACCGCTTTGTGGTTGTAACAGCCTGCACTCTTCTAGGAAGGCTTTCCACTAGATTTTGGAGTGTGCCTGTGAGAATTTATGCCCATTCAGTCTAAAAAATTAATGTTGGACAAATTAATAATACGCACTTGATGTTCTGAATGTGTGTGCATGCTTGCTAGGAAGCTATGTTAGTGCATCCAACAACAAAGGCAGCATGGAGCTTCTTTTATACAGTTATAGAAAACACATTAGCACACAGAAAGCTCCGGTTCTGCATGCTAATCTTCATAATACTCACAATATGCTCTTATTATTATGATGCGATGTATCGTGGTATCATATTGTCATATTGTCCACCCTTACATACAGGTGTACTCAGCACATCTAAAGTGCAGTATGACTGAATAATGAGAGAGAAACAGCAAGAGAGAGAGTAATAACAGTTATTTGAGCATTTTAGAGAGGCACTCCTGCTCTCAGGCCTCCCTCTCTCACTGCATGTTCTGATCATAATTACAGGTCACTGCCATGATGTTCAGTAATTACAACAGCAAGGCCAGAACTGTGGGTATGTGCCTGTATATGGGGCATACTCATGTGGTGGTTCACCTCAGTGAAAAAAAAACATTGGACTCAACTGAAATGTGCCATAGAGGCACATTTCTGATCAGCATCAGTAGAAACAAGGCTAATGTATTCAACAGGGTAGTGCGCAGTAACAGAGACGTAACCACTAATGCTAATAGCAATACTGCACTACGTTAAAAACAAACTGAGATTCCAGCTACTTGTTCAGTGTGCGTATTCTACAGTGTTTGCACAGTGGATTGAGGCAGGTTAAAGGTTGGTTTGATAGCACAGTTTAAACTGAGGGGCACCTCAGTGGTGGGTTTTTAAGTGTAAGGCTCCTGTGGTGTTTTTATAAAGTGAGTGTATGTATGTGAGAGAATGTGCTGTGCTGTGTTGTATATACATTTGAAAAGAGATTGACGTTAGAATTCTAGTGGTATTAATTGTGTTTCTTTCATTTGGCATCGCTCAGCTACTGCTGCTGAGTGATTAGAAAATTGCTTCCAGTTGAAAAAATTGGCTTCCATCGCTGTTCCTGTCTCTGTCTCAGACGCACACACATAGTCGCTCAATCTTTCAAAGCATAATCAGTAGGTAGTCTTACCTCTCTCACCCTTTCACTGTGAACACATTTTTTCTCTAAATTTTCTCTGTTGAATCTAGGTTGAAGGTTATGAATGATTTATTTTAAATCTCTCCTTCACTTTCTCTCTCTCCTTTTACCTCTTTCTCCTTCTCTCTATCTGTCTCACTCTGTCTCTCTCCTTCATTCCCTTTCCTGTATTACTCTCTTGCGCCCTCTTTCTCTCTCCTTCTCTCATTCTCTGGCTCTACCTGTTTCTCTTTCTCCCTTTACTTATCTACTTCTTTACTATCCTTCTTTTCATCCTGCTTCCTCTTTCTTCCACTTTCTCTCTCTCTCCTTGTCTCTGTTCCTTTCTCTCTCCTTCACTCCCTTTCCTGTATCTTTTTCTCACTCTCACTTCTTCTCCCTATCTCTCTCTCCTTCTCTTTCTCCTTATCCTGCTTACTGTCTTCCTACCTCCCTCTCTCTCTTTTCTTTCTTTCTTTCTTTCTTTCTTTCTTTCTTTCTTTCGTTCTTTCTTTCGTTCTCTCCCTCTCTCTCCCTCTCAGTCATTTCAGACAGGCCCCCACCTGTGGTTCGTCAGGGTCCAACCAATCAGACAGTGGCTGTTGATGGGACAGTAGTTCTGGGTTGCCAGGCAACAGGCACCCCCACCCCCACCATCCTGTGGAGAAAGGACGGAGCGCTGGTGTCCACTCATGACTCTCGGCTCAAACAGCTGGACTCGGGAGCTCTGCAGATACGCTATGCCAAGGTACAGCATAGAGACGTCCATTCATGTTTCATTTGTTTAAAACTGGCAGGGCAAAACAAAAACTGTAAGGAGTAGATTTAAGCTTAGAAAAATGTTATTACATAGTCACATTCAACTTTGAGCAGCCCTGCCCAAATTACATTTAAAAAATAGAATAAAACACATCCTCTACAGAAAACATACTTAAATGTGCCATAGTTTTTGCAGAGTGCTGTTATGCACAATGCCATTTTGCACAGCACCATAACATTTGCACAGGCGTATTAAACATATGTTCAATGTGTTAAATTTAGCTAATAAACATTAACTATGTCTTAAATTTGTTCTCTGTAGAGGACATGTCAACTTATTTTCAGGTAGAAAAGCAAAAAACATGACCAAGGGCACACATGCCTTTGGCATATGACTGTAGGTACTTGCATACTTGTCAGGAAAAAACAAAAAAACCTTGGATCTCCATTTTTTTATTTTTTCATTTTTTAGCAGAATTTAAAAATACCAGCTGCTCTTTACCTCATGTCAACTTTTCATGATGAGTGGACAAATAGAAATGCTTCAAATTTATTTGAAAAGAAATCTGGTTCCATTAACTTCCATTCAAAGTTTTTTCTTCTCCTGCAAAGTTACCTTCTCAGAGATATGAGGCTTTGTCCAAACAGTGACGCTATATAAAATACATAAAGACCATATTATTTTCACATAGAGTTACTTACATTTATCATCACTGCTGGCCTTGTGTTTTTGTATCTCCATTGTTATTATGTTTTATTTTCTTGCCTAATTTGAATTTACTAGCTGCTGTTTAGACTCGCTTATAATTTCATTACGAACCAACCAGTATAACAGGTCAAAAATGACTTGGAATAAAATAATAATTGTGCACAATTGGGACACAATATTATTACATGTAGGTATATATATGTAACTTATATGACTCCATGTCCTGACATTGTATAAAAGCAAACCTGTGTATTTGTGTGTATGTGTCTCATTATATGCTATAGTAATTATTTTCACACTGAAAGTCCAGTGTTCAGTATCTGTCAATCAAACTTCTGTTTTTGAACTGGTATGGATGAAGACTAACACACACACTCTCACTCACTCATCAAGTTCATGAAGCGAATCACACGCGTGGCGAGAGGGGAGGGGTTGTGGTGCCATTGTCGTTTCACACAGATGGGTGTCTGCTCTTCCACTATGTCTAGGTCAAAGGTCATTTCAACATAAGCTGTCAGAGTGTGTCTTTAAATCACTCAACGAGAGAGACAAAGAGAATCTGTTTAACCTCAGGCATTTTACCATTACATTTATTCAACAGGACACAGGACCACAGCTAGAAATGGATGTAAAGCCTTTATCTACTATGACCATTTTCAGTGCATGTGACTGTGATCCCTGTACAGATTTCACTGGAATGTTTTCCGTTCTGTCTGCTCCGTGGCTCCCCTGATGTGTCTGTCATCACTTTTAAAGAGGCTCTTGTAGGACATGGACAAAGTCTCTAATTAGCTAGAACTGAAATCTTTTCCATTTGACTGGAAACTCTCTTTCCCCTTAATTTCCCCCTGGTGTGTGTGAGAGAGGTGTGTGTGATGACAGCAGGGGTACAACGAGGACAGTCAAGTGTCAGGAAAGGGTGTTGATGCGTGGAGAGTGAAAATGAGGAAGCAAGGCCTCAGTTACTGCTAGAAACTGAATTAGGATGTGTCTGGTCATTTGCTTTATTCGCAAAAGTCTGGTGAAATGAGTGCTCCTGATTTAGAATTAAGTACTATTGGTATCAAATACATCTCTGACCTACTGAGTCAATTTATGGTTCTTGAGAAAATTATTCAGTGTAACATGACTCATCAGCATTCATTTCACAAGGTATTTGCATATAAAGCAAATGGCCAGACATGTTCTAATTCAGTTTCGAGAAATTCATTCATTCACACACATTCTCACACACACACACACACACACACACACACACACACACACACACACTACACACACATACACACATACACATATATGTGGCACGGTGGCGCAGTGGGTAGCGCTGTCGCCTAACAGCAAAAAGGGCCTGGGTTCGATTCCCGACCGGGGTCCTTTCTGTGTGGAGTTTGCATGTTCTCCCCGTGTCTGCGTGGGTTTCCTCCCACGGTCCAAAGACATGCAGTCAGGCCAATTGGACATGCCGAATTGCCCCTAGGTGTGAATGTGTGTGTGATTGTATATGTCTGTCCGCCCTGCGATGGACTGCCGACCTGTCCAGGGTGTATCCTGCCTTCCGCCCAATGACAGCTGGGATAGGCTCCAGCACCCCACCGCGACCCAGAAGGATAAGCGGTTTAGATGATGTATGTATATATGTATATATACATGATGATGGAGAGGCCTAGATGGCCTTGATTTGGGATCAAAATGCTGAGCGGGTTCATTATTGGATGGCAGCAGCCATGGGAACCTTACTAAAGTGACGTGTATTTGGATCTAAAACATGAGTAAGCAAGGTTGGAAATTGTGGTCAAACGTGCACATTTAGCGAGTGTGATGTTTGTGCAACAGAGGAAAAATACAAATGCAGCTGTTCCTCAGGTGACTGAGAACATCAGTGCAGGTCATGTTCAGACTCCCAGCAAGAATAGTCTGTCCACAACTACATAGAGAGGGATATTAAAGCAGGGTTGCAGTGCAGGGTTGTGAGTTCAGTGGTGCAAAAACCATCAGCACTGGTCTACAGAGATGTGAAAAAAGTGATATGGTCAAACAAGTCAGCATATTCTGCACAAGTGGGCAAGTGCATGTGCAGCCAACACCAAGAGAACAGTGCAGGCCTGAATGCTTGTACTCATACAGTGAGGGGAGAGGGGAGTCTGATGGCTCTGTTAGGCCATGAGGGGTATGGTTCAGGTCCACGTGTCCCTTAAGCCGGGATGGCCGAGTCTGTGCTAGTTGGCTCTAGTCTGCAGATTTTTGGGTCAGTCGGAGTCGGAAGTTGGAGAGAGAATCTAGGAGTCTGTGGGATTTTGGCCTCCCGATCGCGTTTCAGACCAGTCAGAGTATATCAAACGTTCGATTTTTTCAACCGGACGTGTGAAGCAATGCTTTTTAATGAGCTGAGTTTAAGGCACGAGTACAATTGAGTTTATGTACGTTTAAAACTCTAAAAACATTTTAAATCCATGAGCCTCACTTAGACATGTTTACCTGCTGCTTCTTTACTGTGTCAGCAGAAACAGCAGAGGAAACAGCAGCAGTAGTGAGCCACTCCACTTGTTTATTTGGGTCTCCTAGTAACGGAAGAATGTGTGAGTTTGCGTGAGTTCAGGGAGTTCTGTTCAGTTCAGCAACAAAAAGTTGAGTAGTATGTGATCTATAATCATTTAGTGTGTGATCCCCAATATTTCAGTTGCCCAAAAAAATCTGAGCAAAAACCAGGAGGATAGTGTGAGATTGCCAGCCTTTTTATAATCTTTAAAAGATGTGTAGTGTACCCAAGGCTTTAAAACGGAAAGGTCACTGCAAATCAATACAATGTAGTTCTTGATTCTTTATTCTATGATGAAATATTTTACTCTTGATGGGAGTGGTCTCTTCCAGGATGACTGTGCCCCCATCCATAGGCCACTGTGGTTTTGAAGAGTATGAAAATGATGTAAATCATATGCTGTGGCCGTCACTGTCAGCAGATCTCAACCCAGTTGAACACTTAAGGGAGATTTTGTACCAACATGTTAGACAGCACTCTCCATTACCATCATCGAAACACCAACAGAGGAAAAATATTTTGGAAGAATGGTGTTGATTCTTCTAGTTCCAGAGACTTGTAGAATCTATGCCAAGGTGGATTGAAGCTATTCTGGTGGCTTGTTGTGGTCCAACATTTTACTGAGAATGTTGTTTTTTGTTTGCCATCTATATAGTCCAAATATATAGAAAAAAATATAGTGTGACAGGAAAATGAGTGTATATTATTATAATTGTGTATAGCTGATTCAAGCATTCCATCAAATCATAACAAATCATTCCAGTTGAGTTTTTCAATACATTACATTTGTACTACATAATGATTAAAATGTAATTACATATTTACGCTTACAGGTCAATTATATAGTTACATAAAGAGTTTTGTTTGCATTCAGTAATCTTCAGATTCATGACAATTTTCTCTCTTTGTCACAGCTTGGAGACACAGGCATGTACACGTGCATAGCGTCGACCCCGAGTGGAGAGGCGTCATGGAAGGCTTATCTGGAAGTGCAAGGTACTGACGCCTGCTGTGTCTGCGGGCCTGGCAGGAATAGGAGATGTAGGGCTGAAGGGAAATGAGAGTGAAATTAAAGCTGAATGTCTCAGTAATTGCTTGTCTCCTTCCTTCATGTGTGTTTAACATCATAAAGAGAGTGTGAATGAGTGAGAGAGGAAAGAGAAAGTTGAAGAGAGAGGAATTTTTTTTCTTTTTTTCTTTTCTTTAACTTCTCCATCTTGTCTCAGAGTTTGGTGTCGCAGTCCAGCCTGGCCGACCCACTGACCCCAACCTGATCCCCAGTGCCCCCTCCAAACCCGAGGTGACGGACGTCACTCGCACCTCAGTGTCTCTCTCCTGGAAGCCTGACCTCAACTCTGGAGCCACACCTACTTCTTACATCATTGAGGCCTTCAGGTACCTAATAATGAAGCAGTATAAAAATAGAATAAAAATATTGAGGTCTCTAATAACCATGTGATCACAAGTAAATATGTGATGTCACGTGAACATTATGTAATCACATGTGAATGTAATGCCCCAAAATGTGACCATGTTTTTTTTCACATGATCATGTTTTTCAGCACATTTTTAATGTGATTACATTTTTTTTCAAGTGATCACACATTTTTTGAATGATCACATTTTTTCAACATGAGACTGCAAGTTTTTCCATGTGATCGCACGATTTACATGTGTGATAACCATGAGTGTTTATTCATATGTTAAATCCATGGCTTTTTTTCTGGAATGCAGTGGAAAAGATGGCTTTTTTCCAAAAAAACTACACAAGAGAGTAACTTTTCAACAAATTCAAGTCAGAATAAAATATCTCCTATTCAACTCATAAACACAAATGTTATATCAACTGAAAGTTTAGAATCTGCATTTCAAGGTTCGAGGTTCTTTCTTGTTTTTTGCTTGTTCTAAGAATTAGTCCTTCAGTCTCACAGTGAAATAAGTCATATTACCTGTATTATTCTAAGTTAAGCTCTGTAGGAGGTGGTGTTGTTTGTGTTGCTGTGCTGGTAGTGTTTGGTCAGTGTTAAGTGTGTGATGGTTTCCTGCAGTCATGCGTCGGGCAGCAGCTGGCAGACGCTGGCAGAGCATGTGAGGACAGAGAGCTACGTGCTGAAGGGCCTGAAGCCCAGCGCTGTCTATCTGTTCCTAGTGAGAGCTGCTAATGCATACGGCCTGAGTGACCCCAGCCCCATCAGCGACGCCGTCAGAACACAGGGTGAGTTCACCCAGTCCAGGAAAGACAGAAAGCTATATATATGCAAATATGCACTTGCTGACCACTTTTAATAGACACAATACCTTGTTGGAACACCTTGTAGGTGGACAGTTAGGGACTGCAAGGAAAGAAAGCCGTCTGCTGTTTGCCTTCAGATGTATACAATAAATTGGAGGCGCTGCACATTACAGGCTGTACATCATAACCTGCCGTGTTACCGCCATATTCGGTTATACTTGACTTTATATCACTGTTCCAAATAATTTAAATGAATGAAATGCAGTTTTACAGGCACTTCCCCACAACAGACTACAAAGTCTTTCAATAGTGATTCAAAAAGTTTTGAATGCAACCAGCAGATGGTGCAGGTGTATGCTTACATTCCCCATATCTTATCTTTTTCTGTGGGGTGGGGGGCGGGGTGAGTGCCTGTAAATTGTGCAGCAACAGATGGGTTACAGTCAATAAGTGCACACCTATAAAATGCACCTATATTGTAGCACTGTGCCATAAATTGTCTATGTGTGTGTACAAGACAATCGCTGTTGCTGGAACAAAACCTTGTATCTCCAAAATGATAACTTTACAGGAGAAAGAAAAAACCTATTTTACTTTTAATGTAAGTCAATGGAACCAGACTTTTGGGTAATTTCTTTGGACCATTTATCATGAAATTTACATACAAGGGCAACAGGCATTATGTCAAAAACCCAAAAAACGGAGATATAAGGTTTTGTCCCAACAACAGCGCAATGCTTCCTTTTATCCCTGAGCTGAACTGAAACAGCACTAATAGATCCCTTCCATAGATATTTAGAGTCTGCTTAATCAAACTCTCTTTTATGTGGAAACAAATATTGTATTTAAAATGTGTTTATGCAGACATTCCTCCAACCAGTCAGGGAGTGGAACATGGTCAGATCCAGAGGGAGCTGGGGGATGTTGTTATCCACCTCCACAATCCCACCATCCTCTCCTCCTCCTCCATTCGAGTGCAGTGGACCGTGAGTACCCACACTTCCCTCTGTTCAGTCGCCCACTGACAGGAGTACTAGCAGGCTAGGCCCCATAGCCTTTCTCAGGATTTTTCTTAAAGGGAATTCCTCCAATTGTTCAATCATGCTGCATAATTCAGTGGTTGAGATGTAAACAAAGTCATTCAGAGTGTTTTGATGTGAAGTTTTTCATTGTAGAGAAATTTACTGAATCAGATTTTCTTTACATTGGTGGTAATAGGAACCCGGGGTCACAATGTCTACAAATAAAACCATGTTATTTGCTATCCAAAATGACCAGTGAACCTTTACACGTCTTCTGAGATTTTATATGTAACGTTGATAATGGTAAAATAGTGGTAAATCTGAAAAAATACATTTTTGCTGGGAACTAATGTCCTCTACAACGCAAAATACCACTCTGTCATGAATAGATTTTAAAAAGTACCTTTAAAATCCTCTCAAAACTATCATAAAATAATAACTTTCTGTGAGGTAGCTTTTAGAAGCATTAAATATTTCAGACGTCTGGTTCCTATCATCACCATTCTGAAAAAATCTTCTCTAGAAGTTTCTCTAGAATGGCAACATTTCACATCAAACCACTCTGGATTACTTTGTTTACATCTTAACACTTTAACTATAATTGATTATAATTGAACAGTCCTTATTTGCACTCATTTAGGCTATGAAGAGGCCTCCTCATACAAGCAGGTAATGTGTTTATAAAATGCTCAATGTGGCGTCATGGAAATTCTCTCATTTCCAACATATAAATTCACGAGTACAGTGTTTCATATCTGCATTTTGGACCCTTCTCACTTTTTGAGGGCTTAATGAGTTGCAGCTGAAACGACAGCAGTTTTATTGGTTCGGATCAAGAGAGCATTAAGCACTTTACAAGCATACACTGTTCTCTCTGCATTGGAACCATATGGACGTGATCCCACTCTTATGTTTACACAACAGCTCCAGGGCTACTGAATCATATAAAAAAAACTTAAATCAACATGGTAAATATGAGAATCACTGTTTTCTTGGTCTTTAAGTGTTATTGTTACAATTCACATCTTTATGAGTTTGTATATTTGAAGTGGTAAGTCCTTTAGTATTGCAAATGTTTTTAAAGGTTTCCCCTTAACGCAGCTGTTCTGATTTGCTCAGTATTATGCATCACATGTTACTGTAATATGTGATACTCCTAAAACCACAAAATACCACAAAGTACCACAGTGGAAGTAGACAGTTCCTGTTTGGATACTTTATAGCTGACATGTGGTGTGCCTCTTTAGCTGAAGTCTGTTGATTTCCTGCAAGACTGACTTGACAGTGGGCAAGTGCTTGCTATGGCTAATGCTAAGCAGAAGCAGTGGGAGAGGAAGCTTTGGGCCATGCTCTTATGTTTTGCAGTTGGCCTGGAAATGGACAGAAGTGGCTATTTGCCAATCCACTTTGTCAGATAGATTAGCATGTGACATAACCTGTAATGACACCAAAAGTTATAGCATCTGACATCATAATTAACATTGGGTGTGTTTACCTGCACTTAATAAAACATAATCAGAATCAGATTTCTGCAGTTATCTGATTATTCAAATGGTCATGTAAACAGCTTACTCTGATTTCTTAAATCAGAGTAAGGTCTAGAAATCCGACTAAGAAATCCGATGAAGAGAGCTGGATTTTAGCTCAGTTAGATTTCTCAGTGCATGTATTACAGATTTCTTTCGGTTTCTCTCTCTGCACATGTGCAAAAGCAGGCCGCAGAAATAAGAGAGCAGGATTTAACAGAGCACCCACGAGACGGCAACAAAACACTTTTAGAGTGACGCTGAAACCAACTACATGCTTGACGAAATGAAGGATATAAATATTCGTCATCCTCTAGATGATATATGTTCACATTTTCAGGTAAAGTGGTGCAATGTTAAAAAAAAAGCTTTACGTAAAAGAAGTTTTACGGCATGTTTACGCCACATCTTATTCTGGGAGTTTATTGGCTGGTTGCAAAGCAAAAATCTGATTACTGCCTGACTCATGTAAACTTGGAGTGTCCCATTATCTGAATATCCAAGTGCATGTAAACACATTGATCATATTACTGACAAAATCTGATTTTCTGCAGTTATCAGATTGTTAAATGCATGTAAACACACTCAATGGTACATGACACTGTTTTATTACTGAAAAAAACCTGTCATGACCAGGCCTACTTGTATGTGCCTTTTATTTAGCATTTTCAGCAGTTGGTCATGGTTACTGTAACTAGCTAGTCTAATGTAGCTCCTGTTTTACTTACCGATCACTGCTCTTTAATGTTCTCTTGCCTGTAGGTAGAGCAGCAGTCGCAGTATATCCAGGGCTATAAAGTGATGTACCGAGTGTCCTCTGAGACGGGTCAGACCCGGAGCGATTGGGCTGTATTTGAGGTACAGTCACCAGGAGAGCACACAGCACTGATCACACAGCTCCGCAAGGGCACCACCTACGACTTCAAAGTGAGGCCCTTTTTCAACGAGTTCCAGGGCACGGACAGCGATATCAAAGTGGGCAAATCGTTAGAAGAAGGTGAGGGGTAACCATCTGTCTAACAGCATTACTGTCTATCTATCCCACTTTTATTTGTCGACATTTCTCTCTCCGTCTCTTTCTCTCTTGTTCTCTTTCTTCAAAGGGCTCAAATTTTTCTCACTTTTTTGAGATGCAAGAGTTTGATGTAAACGTCCAAAACGTATCGTTCTCTCTTCAGCCCATACGGTTCACATATGCAAAAACTTTACCTTAATCATCCTATCATCCTCCCGCCTACAGCAGTTTAGCTCTAGGCATTCTCATTGAAGTTATAATGGGTGTTTGAAACAATCTTGTTTTGGGGCACAAAAGCAAGGCAGCCAATCAGAACAGAGCTCATTTACATATGTCAATCTTAAAAACACAGTAACGAAAGCATCTAGTTTGATTCTAAGAGATAAAGAGGGTTGGTAATGGTCAACCACAAAAATGTCATCACTGGACCTCAGGGCAAAAAAATATAGGATATGGGCCTTTTAACACTTACCACCACCTTCTGTTAAGCGCCTAATATAAGCATTAAGTTACACTGGATTCCTTTCGTGTGTGCTTCAGTATGTATATTTGTCTGAGCAATTCAGGCATACAGCAAAATGTGCTGCTGTTGAATTGTGGTCTTTCAGCCAGAGAGCAGACTGAGCTGTAGTGGTTTGAAATAGCTCTCTGAAAGCCAAACAGCAGATGGGAACCCTAACGTAATGAATGTAACGCTCACACAAATGCCATACTAATTGTTCATTGGGTGTGGCTGTCTGTGACTCTGCAAATCCACAAGGATCTGGTTTACTCCCGGAGTTCACTTGGAGTGTGTGTTTGTGTTTGCATGTGTGTTTGCGCGCGCGTGTGTGTGTGTGTGTGAGAGAAAGCGGGAAATAACTGTGAAAAAAGGCTAAGAGTAAAGAATTACAAAACAGCTGGGTTTGCTCTTAGGCATTTAATTGCTCATAAGGGGCTGGTGTTTTCTGGATTTAAGCTCAGTCATACATTCACACTGTAATTGAGTGGCTGAATTACTTCAGTGGTGCTGTGAGTCATCTCTGTTTGAAACAGTGATGGTTTATGCATGTGTACTCATGCTTTACCGCTTTCTAAGCTTTGTATTACGCTGTATGTATCATACAAATACATACACACAATGCTAATGCACACAATGTGTATTCACTGCTCACATCTTTGAGGATAAATAATGTAAACTTCACAAATCTTCAGTATTTATAATGTACTTGTATATATTTTCACAGTCATACGTTTGAACAGCCCTTGTCAAATGACATGTTTTTGAAAGGTAACACATCCTCCACAGGGAACATAAATACATCATTTTCTGTGCAGTTTAACACACTGCAACCGTAACAGTAACAACAGTAATTGCATATTAAAATGTACAGAAGTGTGTTCTGTAGAGGATGTGTATTTATTTTCACCTTTTTCAACAAATGGAAAGAACAAAGATCATTGTTGCACTACATAAAAAGTAGATTACTACAGGTGCGTAAAACAAAAAATCTGAATATAAATAAAGTAGAAGGAGTGTTGCTCACACACAGTTGAAAAGGCTGACTAGTCTAGCAAAAATATACATTTATTCTATTAGATACAGTACAAAAAAACAGATGCAAACATAGTTTCTTGCTATCATCATTGCTCATGGAGCAAATGTCTCAACCTGCTTCTTTTTGAAGACCCAGACAAATTGCCCTCACCTGTGCAGGTTATGCTAGGGCCTTCTTAAAGTGACAGTACGCCAGCAAGAGGATAAACTCAGTTGCAAAAACAAAAAACAAATACACGAACATCAGAAACCATCCAAATATAATACATTCGCATGAAATCCTCATTCATACCATTAATGAACAGAGATAAAAGTTCACAAATCCAAAAGGCCTCCCTCTGTCATAACCTTTTGTCTCACTTAGAACACTCTTTCTACTCCACTTTTTTCAGCAAAACATGTAATGTGACCGGGTGTGACGCACACACTTAAACCTATTTGTTTGCTAGTGTTTAAGAGTCATACTGTGTTTTCTCAGCCCCCAGTGCAGCCCCCAGGGGAGTGACCGTAACAGAGAGTGGAGACAACGGCACAGCCATCCTGCTGTCCTGGCAGGCTCCTCCAGAGGACGAGCAGAATGGAGTGGTCCAGGAGTACAGGGTGAGGACAAAGAATGAGAGAACAACAGAGAGAGAGAGAGAGAGAGAGAGAGAGAGAGAGAGAGAATGAGAGAGAATGATGAGGATGAGAAAATGCTGACAGTCACTTAGTCACTCTGTCTTACTCAGCGTCGCCTGAAGGCCAAAGAGAGACTGAGCTGAGAAAGTGGAGCAGATGAGGAAAGTCTCTGGAGAAAATCATTGTAGAATGCTGCCACCTAGTGGACAATATGGAGGCATTTCGCAGTCTTAGTGGTCTCTGTATTGACAATTCATTTAAAACAACATTAAACTGTTGCAGGATCTTGGAACGTGATGTATACAGAATGCATTCTGTGCAATAACTTACTGAATGCATGATTTAAATAAGCCATTTTTAAGGTTTTTTTCTTCATCATTTTGTCTCCATGTAGGCCAGTTATGCCACTCTATATTTCCTATCAGTGTCTGCTATCTCTTTGTGTTCTTAATATATAATTATAAATAATAGCTTAATTTCTTCCATTTGTGCCTCATTCCTTATCCTTTTATGCCCTCTACACCCATTTGGTGCTTCATGCAGCTCACTCTGCCTGCTGAGCCTATATGATATTCTGTTCAGGTCCTTCCTTTTTAATGGGATCCCAGTGTGCTGTCATTTAAAATGTGGATTAGAGTTGGGAGGGAAAGGGGGGAAAAAGAAAGTTTAAAGTGAAGTCGCTGTTAATTTTCCAGGTAAATGTTTTTCTGGTGATGGAAGTGGCGGTTGTGAGTAATTTCATGCTTGTTAAATCTGGCAAGAGTGTGCGATTCTTTTCATAATCGCTTCCCCTGTTCACTCTCAGCGTTTCTTACCCCACCGCATCTCAAAAAAACAGCAGAGGATTCTGGATCGGCTCTTAGGCCCATGTTACACTCTGTCTCCGGGAGCCAGCGGGGACGGATGAAGCTTGTTAACGTTTCCAGGAAAATAATAATCCGGCCAAAACATGGTTAGACTGTGAATGTATGGGTTGCTTTGCATTGAGCTCACGACGTGTATTTTTTTTTTCTCTGACCCTCTGGACTGGGTTAGCCAGAGCAGTATCACTTTCAGCCCAGCGTTAGAGCTCCTTGCTCAGGCTGTAATTTCATTAAAGTAACTCTTGCTGATCCAGGCTATAGTTTTTACATGGTTATGTAGGGCGCGCTCAGAGGGTAGCGGTAGTCTGTTATGGCTCCAGAGCAAAGGAAGCAGTTCAGGGTTGACTGCACACACAGAAACTCAATTTCTTGTGAGGAAAAAGCAAAAGCTTTCTCAGAGTTTCCATTGCACTGGATTTGAGGTGGCTGAATCAGTTTAGGTGAACGCTATAGGAGCTTCTGGGTTATGAACTTCATAACACTGTCAAAAATGACATGATAGAGTTTGTCTCAAGTGCACAGATCGTATTTCGTCTGAGGAAAACCCTCAATATTGCATTCTAAGATGCTGAATAGTAGGGCTGCACGGTTTGGACATAAAATATGATGTTCAGTATGAATATGAGAAGTAAATTATTGTTAAAGTAGTAAGCCTCTGAAAAGTACCACTCGCTACTGTGCAAACCAAAAATAATAAACTAATAAATACTCATAGCTACTTACTTCATAACTTTAAGCACATTTTTGGGGTTGAGGCTAAAAACAGTTAGCATTCATTGAACAACTATTTCTTCTAAAGGCTACAAAAGGTATAACAGGTAAGTATATCATGATAAAATATTACTGCAGGCTAGTAGTTCAGGATTGAATGGTTTTTGAGCTGTGCATGTGTAAGTGATGCACATACGGGGGAGCAGATTTGAAGACCAGTGCAAGGAAGCACTTGTTGGACCTCTAATGCTATGTTCCCGCCAATCTAGTATTAATTGATGTAATTTAATACATTGTGTCATCACAGCCTTTAATCATGTGTTTATCGCAGAAACTCATATCACAATAACAAAAAAAAAACTTATATAGCTGTGTCATTACATAGATTTTGGAATACTGTCATTCATTAGAAGAATATTCAGGAAAGTATGTGATCATTTTTAGGCCAAAATAAAATTCTTAGGCTGTGTTTCAAGTGTAAAATCCAAAATATTCAATTATTTTATTGTCTGTTTTCCACCGTATTTGTGTATTCAGTGCATTTTTAATTGGTCAAATTAGTGAGTTCATGATACTCTGAATTATCATCATCATACTCATTTACAGCCCTGTGTACACAACCCTGAAAAAGGCTCATCTTAACTCTCTGTCTTCCTGAATACTTAGATCTGGTGTTTGGGGAATGAAAGCCGCTACCACATCAATCGCACAGTGGACGGCTCCACATTCTCCGTGGTCATCTCGGGCCTGGTTCCAGGAGTCCGCTACAGTGTGGAGGTAGCGGCCAGCACCGGAGCTGGACCTGGAGTGAAGAGTGACATCACCTACTTCCAGCTGGGTGAGACAAAATACACAGAGTGCTCAAATTTCTTATAAGCATCTACGTCTGATATTGTCAAAATCCTTTCAAATATAGTGGTTTTCATTGTGATACAGGGCATTTTAATTGACTTTAGTCTAAAGTGAGCGTCTCAGTTATCACTGCAAATACATGTTTGTGTGCTAAGCCACATTATCTCTTTTATGACAAGTGTATTCAAAATTCCTACCAATAACAAATCAGAAAACCTCCTGGTACTTTCAAATAATGTTAAAAGAATGAAAAATCAAACAATTTTCCTCTTATCCGAAATGTAGTCAGCCAAGACGTGTCTTGGTGTCTGAAGTTTGCCTCTTTAGACATAGACTTTCATTGCTTGTTAGCTGCATTACTCTCCCATCTCCAGAGAAGCAAACTTCAGACACCAAACATATCTTGGCTGACCAATTACATTACGGGCAGGAGGAAAATTGTGTTAATTTGATTTTTCAGTGAACCATTCCTTTAAAAGAAAAAAGGAGTTAAGATACTGTGGTAACTGCACAAATATTGCTTTATTACCCTGCTCTAAATTTCAGTTCAATTTGAATCTCTTATAAGAAATTTATTGGTCCATGAATATTGAAGTATTAATATAAACAAGTTCCACCTTTGCTAAAAGGAGAGTCATAAGCCTTGACTTGTTCTCTCCAAAGCTATTGGTGTCGGTGGTTAAAGGAGTAATTGAAATAATTAGAGCATCGTCAGTGTTGGCACAGTGCCACATGAGGTTGAATGACAGGAGAGCTCATAAATTTAATCTGCTTCAATTCAGAGTAAAATTATGTCTAATTTAATGGAGGTTTAAGTCTTGATTACTGTCAATCTGTTGGCAACAAAAGAGCATTATTTTAACGTTTCAAGGCAGCAGATGAAGGGCACGCTCTTTGACAGTGCAGCACGCCAGTAACTGTGAACTACACACACAGGCACACACTTGTGTGCGTTAGGAGGTGAGAGATGACTTTATTACTGTGTGCTTTGATCTGTCTGGCAGAATTAGGAGTGAAATGCAATGTTGTAATGTCTCCCACCCATTGCACGCCAAAAATGAAGATAAAAGTTTTATGACTAAAACTCAGCCTCATTACCTATAATCATGCAGTTTTACTTGCTCATGTATTTATTTATTTTTTTATGAACCCCCAGCTTTGTAAAACTGGTACAATATTACATCTAATCCCTAAAGAACTGTAATAAAATATGAAACTTTAAGATTTCTATAGTATTTATGATCTGTAATCTTTAATATTTTAAACACTGCCTAATATTCCTGTAGACTTATCTTAAAGCAATCTATAATACCTAAAGTACTCTGTTATAAACTACAGTGATTGTCCAATTTTTTCAAATTTACTGCATAATTCTTGTACGAATCCTGTAGAAGATATTGTGTATTACTACTGCTCTTTTTTGTAAGGGTCGAAACAGAAAGGGTGTGTAAGAAGATGAACAGAAACATTTATAGCAGTGAGTTAGTCTCTTCAGTGTTGTACAGGAGGAGGCGATGAGAAACTGCATTGCACTGAGGCTTCTCATAGTGTGGTAGAAGAACAGTTGACCCTTTTGGGCAGGAGTCATCAGTTCAAGTCTAGAGGTCCAGGGTCCATCACAGTTTGGTAACTTGGCTGCGCACACACAGCTACTGAACCTGCTCATTAACTGATGAGTTTAATGGGGTACAGTATTGTACAAAATCAGAGACCACCCATTAACAGCCCTTAAGTACCAGTTCCTCTTTTTTAGGAGAACGTTATGAGGAGATTAGATATAAGATAACCCATCTGCATAAGGAAGCTGAAAGTCAAAAGGAAATAAGTGAGAAAAGAGACAAAATCAAGCTCCACTCTTGCTTTAAGTCTGAAAAAATCTTCAGGTGTTTCTGTCCATTTTTCTACTCTGAGAAGACAATTCAATGCTATGAAAGGATGTGTAGCTATTAAAGAGCTGTCACTGAAAAAAAAGAAAGAAAATGTGCACTAGAGCACTGAAAGTGGCCATCTGAGACTGATGGACTGATCAGTCTAAATTACCATTTGGGATTACCTGCAGTAATACATACAGCCAGCTTCTAAGACCGTTGGAGAGGTGGATAAATATCCCTGCAGATGTCTTCGAAAATGGAAGCTGTAATAAAAGCAAAGGGTGAACACAGAATACTGAAAGATTTGATGTTGTAATTATCTGTTGAGGCTTCTGTGTGATTTTCTGTTAAATATATCTTTACAGTCTTTTTTCCTGAGTCTGAACAATGAATAACTTGTACTTATTCTGTTTTGAGTCAATAATAAATAAACAAAGAGTGGTCTCTGACTTTTGCGCAGTGCTCTACTGTGCTAGACTAAAGCCTTTTAGTTGAGTTGACGAGCCCTGCTCTCGGAGGCTGCACAACTGGAGACAACATAGATGGCCTGTTTTTCAGCTGCCTCTCAGTTGAGGCTTTAGTCCTGAAAAAGTTCAGAGAGAAAGAGAGAGAGAACTAAACATCTAGAGCTGATGAGATGAAGCTTTGAGGGTGGGGTGGCGGAGAGGTGGGCTGAAGAGAAGTGAAGCCTATGGAAACCTGTTTGCCTACAGCTCCAAAACAGGATAAAAGTGTCTGCGACATGAAACAAAACGAGATAGCAAGGTGGAAAAAATGAAAATAGCAGACAAAGCCAGTCATTGGAAAAGAATCATTTTTGTGGTGGGGGGAGGGTCTAGCACAATCTCTCTAAAGTGGGGAGCGGATGAGGGAGACAGAGGGAATAGGCAGATGAAGCAGCCGGTTTGTTGTCTGCGCTGTTGTGCCAGATAGGCTTTTTTTCTTTTTAAATCTACCGCACATTGCTCTTCCAAAGAAATACAAATGTGCGCTGTTTTCTGTGATCTGTTCACTGGCGTTCCAATTTGGATTCATACTGAATTGGTTTGATTTCCTTCAATAATCAAAGTGTCACCTCATTAAAGAAGAAACTGCAGTTTCTTGTTTTCTTATTTTGTCATACAATGAGTTTAGAATGATTGCAATTAATGATATCTTTGAAATATGAACGCATCATCCAGTCCATTCATCGTATGAATACCACAAATGACAAAACAGCCTTCTGCTTCTCATGTCTCTGTTTGAACTCTCTGTTTCTCCTTTTCTCCTCGGTTTCCCTGGCTCAGACTCCTCAGGGCGGATGACGCAGACAGTAGCAGACCCAGAGAACACTCTGTCTCAGCAGATTTCAGATGTGGTCCGGCAGCCCGCCTTCATCGCAGGCATTGGCGCGGCCTGCTGGATAATTCTCATGGTCTTCAGTATCTGGCTCTACCGCCACCGCAAGAAGAGGAGCGGCCTGAGCACCAGCTATGCTGGCATTCGCAAAGGTACAGCAGCTAGCTTAGCCAGATTTAAAGTCCAGCCATGTTTTTCTTTTCTTTCAAGTATCACCAGTTATTTCAGACACTCATGGCAATTCATGGCAATTGTTATATGAATTCTTTTAGATTGAATGTCAGCTTCATGCCAGAAATTGTTGTTTTTATAACATTTGTGCAGTTTAATGTACCAAACACCGTCATAATTTATTTTTAAATGACAATTTTCCAACCTCACTTTATCCCTCAGAATTCAACAGGCTGTTTTTGGGACGGTGCCAATAGTGAGTGATATATCGCTGCTGTCGGAACAAATCATCTCTATTTTTGTCGTTTTTCAGTTTTTGATATAATCTGAAAATGCGTGTTAGCCTTTACATTGTGTTTACATTTCATGTTGAATGGACTAAAAGAAACAGCCCAAAATTACTTGGAAAAAAGTCTGGTTCCATTGATTTACATTAAAAGTGAGGTATGTTTTTTTCTTCTCATGTAAAGTTGAAATTTTGGAGATACAAGGTTTTGTTCAGACAGCAGTGATATGTAAATGAGCTCTGTTCTGATTGCCGTGTATTTAAAAATTTCATTTAAAAAAACAGTCTGGGTTGTAAGACTACAGCTTTAGCGTAGGTGGGTGGGGCTAAACAGCTGTTGGCTGAATAGGTGGATATATGTAAATAAGGCTTCTGCTCAGTAAATTCAGAACAGACTGTTTGCAGCTTAGTTCCTGAATGTGTATGGAGTAAGGAGTGAATAGTATGTTTTGAAACTTTAACTATGTTTACATTCTACATGAAACTCTTTTATTAAAAAAGTCAGCTGTTGCTTTTTTTAACCCTCTAAAACCCCAAAGGCTTGGACCCACTTTTAAATTCCTCACACTCTACATAACTTATGTTTCATAGTAGTTACTCAATAATTAATAAAATTAAGCCTCAAGATTAACTATTAAAAAATAAGCGATTTAAAGTAGTGTTTTAAATGGAAAGCTACATTTAGCAGAGTAATGCCTGCGCTAAATTCAATCATTGTACAAAAGACCTTCACTTAACATGAAAAAGCTTTGGCTTTTCCTTGATGCCTGAATTAAAAACAACAAAACAAAAACAAAAAAAAACACACCTTTAAGGGATTGTTTCATTCCTTGTTTTCATCTGATCTGTCAAGGTTATGTTTGAAGTGCTCTCACCAGAGTACAGTTTGTACAGAAGTGCCACATCTTTTTTTCCGATTCAGATTCTTTTTTCTTCTCTTCTTTCATTTCGCAAAGACTTTAAGCAGAAATTTCAGGAAGATCTTTCCGCTGGGTCTAGCCTCTCCACCACAACAGACACAGCTCTGTGATGATGTCTCTTCTCCACTCGCGGGTTTAATGTATATCTTCAGGCTATGCAGCTGCCAGCGCTTCTCTCCCAGCTCAGTAATCTATCCTGGACATCATTAATTCATTAATTCCAAGGCTGTTCATAAGCCTTTGATTTGTCGCTGTTATTTTAGACTAGTGAGATTTGCGGGGAGGAAAAAGAAAATCTGGAAGGACTGAAAGCAGCAGTGTTTCCTGCCGCCCGTGCCCTTGCCTTTTAAAAGTCTCTTTTCAGCCATGAGGGCTGAAGGTTCAAATCACACACTCAGAATCTGATGAAGGCTCTTTCATATCTCTCGCTTTCGCTCAAGAGTTCATGCAGATGGGAGATCGCACAATGACGTTTTTTCTAATGTTGGCAGTGGGCTGCAGGCACATCCTTCTCAAGGACATTCAGCTAATGGAATGCTTATTGGCAGGCTGGAAGCGGTGCTTAAAAAGAGACGGGAGTCCAGCTATTCATTTGCATTAGTATTCACACACTCTGAAGGTTGAGGTGCGCTCAGCTTTAGAACATGAATGCCGCGAAACTGAAGGCATTCAGCTATTGAAGTTAAGCATAGAATTCGGAGGAGCTCTGGATTACTTCAAAAAAGAGGTTTATCGTTTTTGAAAATGTTCAGAGTTCACATTTTCAGTTTGAATCTGTTAAGACCTTAGCAACAGTTCAGGTTTGGTCTGTTAGGATCATGATTTTGGAGATTATCATGGTTTTCTTAAAGCTGCACTATGTAAGACTTTTTGTTCAAATTGAATGAAGTAGTGTTGCTGAGTAAGTCTAAAATATGGTGTACATGTGCTGCTGTGACTCACCCTGTGAAGCTTGAAATAGAAATTTAAGACTCAGAGGTGTCGGGTTGGATTTCACAGGACTTTTTGGATCACGTCATACATCTTTACGTATTTACATATACGACTTTTTACTGAACTTGTACTTTTTTGTCAAGGCTATAATTTGATAATGTTTATCATTAACAGCACTTACATTTACTCTTTAGATGATTTCAGATTAACTAGGTAAATATGTGCTGTCGTGTCGCATACTTTGCAGAGAAACTGTTAGCTGTAGGCTCTTTACTAACACTATGATGCACAGTCTTTGGAGCAGTACAATTAGCATTGGATATACCACATTTATACATCAGTTGGTTCAAATCACACACTTTGATTGAGAAACACTTGTGCTTTTAATGGAACTTCACCTGTCATTCAGTTGAATGAAACTAGTACTTACAAAGTAGTTATTTTTGGCAAACCATTTTTACACTGTACTTTTGATAGCAGCATATTTATTTTCACAATAACTGAGTCATTGAGATATTTACACTGATGCTGTTACTACATTTCTACTAGCACATCCAAAAAACAGAAAATAGAGAAATGAGAACTTCTTTAGGAAACATTTGACCTGCAGCCGGTTTGGTCAGATTCTGAAGAAAAGTGTGACAACTGGCCTACATCATTTTTCAAACCTGTCATTGCCCATAAGTAAGCTTTTCAGTCAGCAGCTGTGACGGCTTAACAACTAAACAAACTGGAATCAGCCAGAAACTAACAGAATACAATTCAGCAAACACAATGGGCTGTGAAATGCTCTACAGACTGACTGCAATAAAAGGACATACAGGTTAATCTGGCAAGTACTGAAAATGTTGAGCTGAACCTGATATTGTAACAGTTTTATGTCTCTGTCTGCAATACGAGAGTACTTCTTTATTGACGGACGGAATTACAAACATTAAAGCACATTTGATACAATGTTCAGGGCAGAACTGTTGTACAAAAAGCAACAGAACACTTGAGGTCACACCTGCGACCAAATCACAGCTGTGAAGTTATTTGCAATAAAACACAAGAGCAGATGATGTATCAATAATCCATCTCATCCCTATCAGTATGCCCCTTGTAGAATGTTCAATGGCTAAAAGCAATATGCTTTAGTTTTTCCACTGAGCCCACAGGCGAGTTTGATCTTGCACTTGAGAGCCCGGGACAGTGCGTTGGTGTTGCTTCCGCTGAACTCCGAAAAGTCTCTTATGACACCGATGGCAAATATGTTGGCCTTCCCACTCCTTGTCCACTTGAGAAAGCCACAATGCCAAGAGTGGCCCGCTTTGAACTGGTGGCTGGGAAAGCCTTGTGTGTGAATAAATGAAGAAAGGGACAATTGTACCCACATAAAACAGGAACGCACTGGTTGGGTGGAGTGGAGAAAAAGACGGAGGTGTGATTTTTCTGAACACGCATATGGACATGCGAATGGGTGCATGGTTTTGTGTGCATAAACATACACAAAGCATTTAGGCAATATCCCCCTCATAACTCCCCAACCTGTCTTTGCAAAGCTGACAGTCACCGAGTTGCTGTGGTGATTTATTTATCGTCCGTCACATTAGCATTTTCATGTGCTGAGGGGCGCGCACCAAGCGTCCATCTCTGTTTACTTCCGAACAGATAAACACACATGATAACAGCATCAAAAGTGGCCGCATCTATTACGCTGATCTTTTCATATGCCGGGACCTCTGAGCGCTGCCAAACACTGGCATACAAAAACGGAAAAGCGAGAGGTGACATTTAAAGGGAAGGGCTCTGGCTGCTGCTTTAGAATACAGACGATATGAGAAGGTGAAGACAGTGCTAATAGTACGGCTGCGTTTCGGCCTGACACTTTGCTGTAGTGCCGCCAAAACCAGCCTGAGTGGCTAAGCATGCGAGAGGTTTCCTCTTTCTTTTGATATTTTAATTGCCTGTTTGTGGTGTATTCAGAGTCTAAATCGCTCACAGCGATGCTGCAGAATGTCTTATGCTTTGTCAGTCTGTTTATGGGATTCTTTGATCAAATTGAAGAAATATGTGAAGGGATTATCATGGAAGAGAAGGATGCAGAGTGAATATATTCCAAAGCCATCTGAATGCATTTTTTTTTCTTTTTTGGTTTTGTGTTCGTAAAATACATCGTTGTTTGTAGCGTAACATCTTTAGGGTCTATTTTACTACGGATTGTCCTCTCAGCGCTTGATGAGCTCATTCCCTTAGTGCTTCTGCTTATATTTTGCAATATCAAATGTAATTTCAATGCTCCATTAAACAAAATGATAGTCCTAAAGTTACATTACACAGAGGAAGAAGTTGTATCTTCTGTTATGTTGCTAAATGAGCCTTGAGAACTGACTTTACAGGTGTTTTCATGATATGTCGGCAACCATAAATGTCTTTCTAATCCTTTAAGACATAAGAGTACCTATATGCCCCCGCGCCACTTCAACAGCTCACTCTCGTAACTTTTATGTGAGAGTTTTTGTTAAATTTGAAAGAAGTAGCATTAATGAATCAGGAAAAATAAAAATCATGCTGAAATATGATCCATGCGCTGCTGTGAGTCACCCTGTAATGCCTGAAATAATCATTTAAAAGTAAGAGGCATCAGGTTGGATTTCACAGGAGTTTTTGGGACCACATCATACATTTTTACATATTAACGTTGCACTCACAGACTCAAAAAGGAGGTCCAGCTCGATGTTTAGGTCTCAAGTGTAAAATCAGCATTATACTGATGAAGATATGATGACAATAGTAGACTCACTTAAATCCACAAAATACACGTCCTTCACCAAGTTTTGACTGACTTCTCTTTAAATACTCATTCAACGCACTCACAATTATCAAATTCATCTGCTCAGGGAAGGGGTTCAAAACACAACTGGCATTACAAAATGTTCTTCCATATGTTGCATGTAATTACATATTTCCACCAGAGAGGTCTCCACATCCCCAAAACCTATATAGTGTAGCTTAAAACACTTAAATCATCATGAATATGGGAGTTTAATGTCTGCTTTGTTATATTTCTGATGTATTTCATGTAAATATACTGCCTGGATATGTGTTTTGCTTGCTTATTGTAACTGACAGTGTTATTATCTTTTTTTTCCATGTTCTGCTGGATGGATTTGCAGTGCCATCTTTCACCTTTACGCCTACAGGTAAGCACTACTGTAAGAGATCAATTCACAACCACTGAATTGGTGATGAGAACCAGACGTCTGAAGAGTTTTAATGCCTGTGAAAGCTCACTCACAGAAAACTATTACATTAAATGGTTACAAAATATGCTGTCTGATGCCTGAGACATGGCCTAAAATGTTCATGGTGAAGAGGTGCATGGAGGGTGTTGTAAGGCAAAATAGTCCTCAAAGAAAACTTTTTCCAGATCTACCACTATTTTACCATCATCAACATTACATATGAAAGCTCACGCGACATGTTTGTTCACTGGTCATTTTGGTTAGTAAATTAAATGGCTATATTTGTATAGTACACATTGTGATCTTTGGTTCCTACCACCACCACTGCTTTTAGATCCGCAGTTTAACTGCTCTGTGTCCACTTCAGTCTTCTCACATTTCGGGTTGTGTCTGCTGTAACCTCACTCACACTCTGCACACAAGGGTCACAGTGGACAGCAAGAGACAGCAACCGCTGTTAAAAATACATCTCCCCACAAGAAAGGGCACTAAAAACCAGTCTGAAGCTTTTCACGCAGCTATCAAAGGCTGCTTTAGCATGTCAGCCAGGCCCCTGCGAATACAGTTAAAGAGGAGTAGAGGAAAAAGAGAAATGCTCCACTAAAGAGGGCCTTTAAAACAGACGAGGAGCGGATCAAAGCAGGGCCGTCCGGCCTCATGCCTCAGCCGGGGTTTGATGAGGTGTCACCAGAGCTTGCGCGGCCCAATTAGAGAGAGCGGAGAGGAGCTGTAGCACGAAGGCTGGCTGTGAACTTGGGTGACTTTTCCATAGCAGGCAAAAGAACATGGCTGAGAATGTCACTTTCACACTCTCCTTCATGGCCTTTTTCTGTTCTCCCGTCAGACACTCGCTCATTTATAGGAGTTGTTTCATCTTGCTGTCATCATCTTGCCATTGACTTATCTGCATTTATAAGCACCAGAGAAAGAGTACGCTTTTTTCTCCTGTATGAATAGAAATGAGGCTTGATTGCTAATGATGACGCACTGCGAGACTTCAAGTGAAAGCTCAGACTCTGCTAGTGGAACATTAGCTACTGCTACTACTGCTTCCCCAATCAGTATTCATCCAAAATGCACAGTGACACTGCTAAACAGTTCAGTGATATAATTTAGTCCAAAATTTGTCATCTGTAGTATATTATTCAGGACATTATTTGTGTAGAAGCTGAAGTGAAACTCTAGCTCACTCCCTGAAGAGGGGAAGGGGTGTGTGAGCTGGCAAAGGGCTAGGGAGATTGGTATGAAAGTTGGAGTTTATCTCCATCTGCCACACTGGAGAGAAATCGCCCACTCCAAATTCACCCCAGTACTGCCAAAAGAGCCAAACCACCCCAGTACTGCCAAAAGAGCCAGCACACTACAGTGGGCCACTCTCAGCACGGAGTGACTAATCCCTTCTTTGTTATACACTCCCAGATATTCATGCACAATTTTTCATACTATAAACTGCTTGCAAATCAGGACAGAAGCCACATCCTTGATGGTCTTGTCTGTTGAGGAAGTAGTATTCCGCTTGCAATTGTTTTCACCAACATACCCTCACTGGCCACTTTATTAGAAACACCTACCTACATTTCCACTTTGTGGCCACTTTATTGAAACAGATATCTTGTATTTCCACTCACTGGCCACTTTACTAGAAACACCTACCATTGGCACTCACTGGTCACTTTACTGAAAACAACTTCCTTGTATTCCTTTTCACTGGCCACTTTACTAGAAACACCTTCCATTGGCACTCACTGGTCACTTTACTGGAAATACCTACCTTGGATTTCCAGTGCCGCCATACCATAAGGCTTGACCACTCCTCTGGCCACCCCTTATAAACAAAATGAGACAGCCTGCCCCTTTTTGTCTCAAAATGAAAAGCGCCCTTTTTGTTGAGTTCTAAGTGTTTAATATGTCGCTCTGCAAAACGAGCGTAAACATAAAATTGTCCCTGGAGGGCAGCAGAGTTTGGTTGTGTCCGTAATTTTATAAAAGGTATTTAAAACAGCAGCCTGACCACACTAATAACTGAACTTTTTTGTCTGGCCTTTTTAGTTGACGTCATACGGCAGCGTCAAGGCCAACTTCGAAATACTTAGGCTGTGTTCCAAACCGCAAACCACATCACTAAATAGAATGTAAAGAAACCACCACTAGAAGTGCATTCATTAGTCTAGTTAAAGCACTGAAGTGCGTGGTTCAGGTCGCAGCCTCAGGACGTTAGCTTACATTTCACAGAGCGCGAGACTGTGAGGTACAGCGCTCTACTGGGCATATATAATATAAAGCTATGTCATAACGAAATGACCATATTATAGAATAAAGTGGTTTGATACTAATATCAAGATAACATGCTTTGGGAATCTATGTTCCCTGCTGAAAAAAAAACAATAGAAACCATTTAGTGTTCCTGTTGGTTCCTGATGGTTTTGTAATGTGTTTTGGCTTTTTAATCGGTTGATATCATAATGTAAAAGATCCTAATGGTTTGACAGGATTGATTCTAAATGCATATGATGGTTCCTAATGGGATCTAAAGGCGTTCTACAGGAATGAGTGGTCTATATTGAAAACAATTAAGCCAATTCCCATTAGAAAGCAAAACCATTAGGTTTTTGATCCTAATGGTCCTTTTTCTGCAGGGATATATCGGAAATCATCGAAGCTTCATGGCATTTCAAGTTAACAGTTATAGTGGAGTTTCACCTGGCGAGCCACCTGAATTCCTACTAAACACACTGAGCACCGCTGTTACATTATTCGCGAGTTTCTCATTGGAATTTTCCGTTCCACCTTAAATGGTGCAGCAGTTACATTCCGGCGTCTGTACAGGTGGTCGCAACTGCTGTACGGTTTAAGGTGGAGCGGAAAATTCGTATGAGCACGCGAAGAAGAAGCCAACTTCCGCTTCGTCGCGGGTCGAAAGTCGTTTACCTCCGTAATCCGTTTTCGACTCAAATTAAAGTCGAACACGCGCCGGAAAATAAAACCTTAAAACACAATTTACAGTAAACCCGCTGACATGGGTTGTTTATATTGCCATGGTTACAGTCACCGCGCGATCTCCACCGCGCATTTCAGGTAGGGAAGTGTAGTTTTCACAGCTTTTAGCGCCATCTGAGTATTTCAGACCTGACTTTGGTTAACGCACGTATCTCTAGGATTATTGAGAACCTGCGGAGCCCCGCTGGTGACATCCTGTATAAATAAAAATAATGCGTGGCCACGACTTAGTAAAGCAAGGGAACGAGATCCTAAGGCATGGCCATGTTCACACACCTTACTAAGTCATGGCCACGCATTATTTTTATTTTCACAGGATGTCACCAGCAGGGCTCCGTAAGAACCACACAGAAAAGATGGAAGTAAAGTAAGTAAGTAAAGTTTCAAATAATAAAAATAATAATAATAATAATAATAATAATAATAGTAATAATAATAATAATTTACTGTTGAGCTAAACAATTATAGAAACAAATTCAACATATTTTGTATTATTTTAATAACCTAGCCCTAATATATGCCCAGGAGACCGTTTTTAACTGCAGTTTTCCTTTGCCATCCCAATAAATTCACAGTGTCTAATCCAGCCACCCAACTGTGAAGGTTCTGGCTGCACCTCTGTTTATGAGCTCCACTTCCACCTTATAGGTCAACTAAACAATTACAGACTGTAGCTCGTCTGTTGTCTTGCACAGCTACCCACAGCCACATTCATCATCAGCTTTTGACCACAAGACAGCATTGACCAGATAATATTTGGGTGGTGGATCATTCTCAGCTCAGCAGTGACACTGACATGATAGTGGGTGTTGTGATTATAGGATTTGCTGGGTTTTTACATGCCAGTTTGGCTGCTAGGTTGAGAGTGGCCTGACACGCAAAACTATCCAGCCAAGAGCTGAGAGTTTTGTGGTCAAAAGTTGACCATTGATGAAAGGTTAGAGCTAAACTACATGAGCAGACTGGCTGCAGTGTCTAACAGTGTCCCTACAAGGTAGGGGTTTCTAACAAAGTGTGCATTGTTACAAATGTATATGTGCATGCTCTTTAGCTACTGTATCTAACTGCTGATGTTTTCTGTGTTTTTCTTTGTACTACAGTTTCCTATCAAAGAGGAGGAGAGGCTGTTAGCAGTGCTGGGAGGTGAGTCATGAAACCAGTGATGTTTTTTTTTAGTCTTTGAAGCCTCCTTTATGGCTGTTCCCTTAGGAATTACTAATTTTTCCATCTACGTATCTGTCCCATGGCACACCCTAATAACAGTACACTACGGTCAGTCAACAGACAATACAGTGTAATTGCTTCTGTACAGCACTAGGGGGCAATCTTGGCTTTGTAAAGTAGTTGTTGTGGGTGGAGGAAGAGGGCTTGTACAACAAAGCTGAAGGAAGCAGAGACAAAGCCTCATCTTTTCTCTCTGCATCCCTCTTGTCAAGTTGATGCAAGAATTAAACACGTCCTAAATGAATTGTGGCATATCATCATTCACAATGTAGCCTGGTGGGTGTGTTACAGCATTTTGTGCCTGTGTGAGTGGGTGTGTTTCCACGTTCTTTGTCCAGAGTGAAATACCTTGAGGTGAGATTCTTCTTGAGACGCCTTATGTAAAGTGAATGAGGTGGTGTAGTGGATCATATGCTGGAGCTTTGGGGTCTTGTCTGCTCTTTGGAGGCCTGCAAGTGCCAATGAAAAACTCCCCGGCCCATTTGAAGGCGCAGTAAAGGGAGCGTTGTGGTGTGTGAGATAGCAGTAGTGAAACACAATCCACGGCCAGCACCTGGGACACGGCCAGGACGAGCGGACGCTTAACTTTGAACGGTGGAGTCAGAGATTTCACAGCACTAAACACTGACTTTGATGTTCCGGTACATGTCTTTGATGCCTGTCCCTATAAATCTCACCCTCTTTTTGCTTCTCACTCTGTCTCTCTCTCTCCCTCCCTCTCTCCCTCTCTCTCGCGCCCTCTCTCCCTCTCTTCCTGTCTTTGACCTTGTATAAGCCTTTCGTCTTTTTCTTTAGCAACTTTTTTTTCTACACTTCCTACTTTCAGCTTTGCTTTGGTATATACACGCAGCCATGGACATGCATTCACATAGACATGCATTATTATTTACTGTCTAAATCTTTAGTGATATGCTGTGACGATATAGCCTCCACTGTCTGAGCTGTCAGTGGTTTTGCTTCAGTAATGGCTCAGAGGAATGTGTATGATTCTACAACTGGGACTCAAATGCTCGTAAATGTTCAGGCTGTATGCGGTGTGATCCAGCGGTCACAAGGAACTTGAAGCAATAGTGTCCTCAGCAATGGGCAAATCAAGCAAACACAGTCCATTTAGCAGAGATACAGTCTAGTGCTCAGAGAGTGGAAGACTGCCACAAAAAAGCTCTTTTTGTTGCACAGATTCCTAGTTACAAAGTGGTTTTGGGGTTTTAGTAAAACCTAAAAATCTGTGTTTTGTCTGGGGGATAAAGTATACTCTATAAGTCCTGCCCAGCGGCCTCTACTCTTTGCACTAGATGTTGGAACATTGCCGTGATGATTTGACTGCATTCAGCCTTAAGAGCATTAGTGAGGTCAGGTACTGATGTTGCATGATTAGTTCCGGATCACAAACACCACTCTGACTCATCCCAAAGGTATTGGATGGTGATCCATCACTCCAGAGACCGTAGTTCCTTTGCTCCACAGCCTGATACTAGGGGGCTTTATACCCCTGTAGACAACACTTGACATTGGGCATGGTAGACTTGGTCTCGTGTGCGGCTGCTCCAGAACGCCTTATTGCATTAGCAATACTTTTTTTCCATGAAGATCATACAAGCGGTATGTGTGTGTGTGTCGTGTGCCAACAATGGGTGTACATTGATTAGAAGGGGTGTCTGGATGCTTTTGGACATATACTGTACATTAGAACATATTTGATGCTCATACAGAATCATTTGAACTGTTTGAGCTAAATGAAACATATGCTCTAATCTGATTCAGAGTTTCAAAACACTAGTTTTGCATGTGACCTGACATCATGTGGGCTAATAGTATCCGGAATGTGTATATATTTACATACGTCTGTGTATAGAATACGTTTCAGAAGTTTGTTGAATTTGTAGAGGCGAAAAAAAACAGTCAGTTCTACTAAGTTGAGCCTGTTGCTGAGAATTCATCCTAAAAAGTGAAACCATGATAAGGCCAAAAAAGTCAAATGACAAAATGGTATTGACAAAAATTGTGAAGCTTTCCTAATTTAAAGCTTTAATTCTCAGCTGTTCATTTCAGCACTTCGTCAATCAAAAAGTATCATCATTACTGTATGCAGAGGCAGCAGAAGCACAAGTAATTGTGACTGGGGCAAGCTGAATAAATGATGATGCAGAGAATGTGCATTTCCAATCTTATACAGTCCCAAAAGATGCTAATTTCTCCAGATTGTCTCGCTGGTTTCTACTGTTACTAGAAAATATACTGTATAAAAATTTCCCGACACCAAACGCACCACTTTACTGTCTTCATTTGATAAGAAAGATTTTTGATTTCTGTTTACTTCTATGCCCCGAATTCTTCATCCTCTGAATCCTTCTTTAAAGCTGATAAAGTAATCATAATGCTGTGCTGAATGTGTCTCTGCAGGCCAGGTTTGTTGAACATCGGTGAGCCGGCCACTCAGCCCTGGCTAGCGGACACATGGCCCAACAACTGCTCCAACCAGAACGACTGCAGCATCAACTGTTGCACTGCGGGCAACGGCAACAGTGACAGCAACCTGACCACCTACAGCCGCCCAGGTGAGTTTGCATGCATGTATACATGAAAGAGAATGCAAGAGAGAGTGTAGTTAAGACCTGTGGTGCTGGACTGTTGGGTGTTGATACAGTAAGACTGTACAATTCAGTTATATTGCTAGATATTTTAGTTGTCTTGCAGTATATTAAAAAAGCAGGGGCGTGTCAGTAATGTGACATGGTTAAAGATGAGCTATAATGATTAACAAATGATTTATTATGCAGGCCTGATACAGTATGGTGTTTTTGTGTTTTGTTGAAGGTTAGTACTGGGCTGTTTTAGGCAGACAACACACTGGAATGGCCTTATGGGCTTTACTCTGCCAGCTAATCGAATTTGCCAGCTGATTTCCATACTGTTGTTATAGTGCCTAAATGCAATTTCCTCTAAGTGCTTACTTATTTAGAAAACAGAAGCAGAAGCAGAGGTCAAAGAGAGAGAGTGAGGGAGAGAGAGTGAGTATATGAGGGTGCACCCAGTATTTTGAGAGGGAGGTATGATGGCGGAAAAGTAGGTTATAGTAAGGCAAAGTGCAGAAAGAGTGATTGAGCACCTCCAGGTGTTCTTTTTTGCCAGTGTCAGCAGTGACTTCACAAGCAAAAGAGAGCTAGGTTGTCCCAGGACAAACACTCACCCCCCCACCCCCCTACTCCTTTACACTGGAATGCAGTGCTTACACGGTGCAATCAGAAGTTGATGGCTGTCGCTAGCATTATACAAGAAATCTTGATGAAAAATGAAAAAAACTTTTTTTAGTTTTTGAAAATGTCAAAAGATACTTTACTGGAAAAAGATAAATGAAAGTCTACGTGCTACATTACACTGACAAAACCATACAAGATGAATTGACATGACAGATTATAACATATTTATGCCCAGCTATGTTTCAGTCACCAGTAGTTTTTATGATATTTGTCATAATGTTTGATTTCCTGATAGCTAACTGGAGTGCACTTGTGACATACACCAATCAGACATAACATCATGACCGTCTCCTTGTTTCTACGCTCATTGTCCATTTTATCAGCTCCACTTACTCTGGACCCTCACAGAGCAGGTACTATTTGGGTGGTGGATCATTCTCAGCACTGCAGTAACACTGACGTGGTGGTGGTGTGTTAGTGTGTGTTGTGCTGGTACGAGTGGATCAGACACAGCAGTGCTGCTGGTCATTTTAAACACTGTGTCCACTCACTGTCCACTCTGAAAGACACTCCTACTTTGTCAGTCCACCTTATGCCTGATCGGTGTCATGACATTAAACAGTATGGCATCTGCCGTGATGGTATGGCGATAGTGACGCACTTGAAAAAAAAAAGTCTCCACAAGTCTTAACATTTAATGCAAGTTTGTAGAAAGATATTTTTTCAAGTAATTTTTGCTGCGTTTCTATTGGTCCATTCAACATGAGATTTTTATACAATGTAGGACAGTTTCAAATGATAAAAAAAAAAAAATGAAAAAATGAACATACATGTTTTTGTGGTTCTTTGTTTTTGGGCAGCAACAGTATTATATATGCCATGATATGTCTAAGGCATTGTTTTGTCAATCTTGTGTAGCAGCATTCAAGGAAGACTAAATAAATGCAAATAAATGTGTTCATCAGGCTCTATTTCTGTAAGACAAAGCAGTAGGAGAATTTCAAATATGCATTATCATCATGCAAATTGCTGACTAATCACTGCCAATTCATCAAGGAGGTCAATTTTAATCAAAATGTTAGTGAAGTTTAATTGAGTAATCGTGACAGCCCTAGCTCATTTACAAATGTTCCTTGATAGAAGTTGAATGATGCTGGAACAGAGCAGCTAAGCTAAGCAGTCCGTTTGTACTTCTTCTTATAAAAACATTTCCTGATTCCTCATTCCTGTATGAACCAGTTAAGTACATCTTCACTGGCAGATTAAGCCTCAGGAATTACAGCATAAGTGCACAGTTTATATGGAGAGGTTTTAGCAGGCAGAGTTTAGGCTGGGCGTATCAAACCACAAGAGCTTCACTGCACGTTTAATACCCCCCTCCCCTTTTATGAGGTGTGTGTTTTTCTGCTAACATGAGCTTTTATCTGAATCACCTTTTTCTAAAGGAAGGTAAGGATGGATAAATGCCATGGCCACTCACCGCATGACAGTATGAAAGCTTGCCAGCTGCTTGCCTAGTGTGCCAGAAGTACTAAAACCTTTAGGAAATTAACTGCATCAGTGGCTCTGTGGCATCTCCTGAAAGACAACTTAGTAGGTCTCATTTCATAGGACCTATTTCCATTGACACGTCTACCTTTGAAGTGCTGCAATATCCTTCGTTCCGACAGAAATGTGAGCCGCTCACAAAAATCCACCAATGGCAGCAGCGTGGTATTTACCGCCGAGCTCTTTGCTCTGATCCTGAGGAGGATTTGAATATTTTATGAGCGGGGGGAAAATTGGATCTGTCAGAAGCTGGTTTCTTTTACAGCGCCGCTCCTTTGCAAGTAGTTTGATTTGGACGTGGTGGAACATCGGGCTCGATGAGTAGAGCTGTCACCTTCAGAAAGACGCAGCGGTGAACATATCGCATCTGGCACGGGTTACAAAGAACCAGCGGATAAGCTAAAGTACCATGATGAGGAGTTTTAACTAGAGGCTACAGTGTTTAAACACTAGACATAGGCTTCCAGCAGTAGTCATTGGCGTTCAGTTGATTTCACTTTCATTTTTGTTGTGATACGTATCTAACAGTAGTTACTGATATTCATAAATATATTTCTCATTTGTTACTCTGATAGGCCTCTTACAGCAGTCAGTAACACTTACTGTAACAGTAACACTGTTACTAGTCGGTAACAGTGACTGGTTACTCTTTTACTCTGATAGGCCTTTAACTGTAGTCAGTAGGTTCCCTGTTTGAGGCTTGGTTCCTCTCAAGGCTTTTTCCTCTTCCTTGGAAGTTTTTCTTTGTCACTGATGTTGATGCTTTGGTAACTTTACAGACCAATATTGTAATCCTAGATGTTTTAAATGGGCTAGAGATGTTTACATAAGTACTTCTGAAAGGTCTTAGTGCCCACTGAACGTCAGTCATGAGATATTTCCTTGTTATTGACACTGGTATTTCAAGTCAGAGATTGGCCAGATATCCGCCAGAATTCTTGCTCAAGAACTACATTTGGAGTAAGGCAAAATTACGTACATTGGCATATTTGCTGAACTATATCTCTAAAGTAAAAAACAGGCTACCAGTCCCTGCTTTCTTGTAAGACCACAAATTGTTCCCTAGCATCTTATAAAAAACTGTCCCTGTAACTCTTCTGTAATTTGTTTATAAGCTGCATCAAATCAAATCCACATCCCCTCACGCGTTACCTGGTTAGTATGGATTTCTGAAGGCCCTGTTTCCCCTCTCCTGTCGTCCAGCCGACTGCATCGCCAACTACAACAACCAGATGGAAAGCAAGCCCAGCAACCTGCTGGCGCCAGACTCGGGCCTGTACGGAGACGTGGACCTCTCCAACAAGATCAACGAGATGAAGACCTTCAACAGCCCCAACCTCAAGGATGGGCGGCTAGGGCCGGGGCAGCCCACCCCCTACGCCACCACCCAGCTAATCCAGTCCAGCCTGGGTAGCGGCACAGGGGGCAGCGCTGACGACAAACAGAGTTGGAAGAGCAGTCAAGGGACGCCTCAGAAACAACAGGAAGTGACATCACAGCTGCAGTACAACATCATGGAGCAGAATAAGCTGAACAAGGGTGAGTTTGGAGATGGTACCCCAAGGGCCCCGTAAAGTCAAGAGCATTTCTTTCCCTTTACTTTGTGATAGGTGTTGTTATAGATGTGCAGTTGCACATTAACTGCTTATTTGCATAAAAAACACAGTGTTGACTACAATTTCATGGCCAAAGACCATCAGAAGTCACCACATTTCCATGAATCATCCAGTCTTTCCCAGTATTTCTTTCTCTTGTGGACATATACCATACCATATCGAAACCATCTTAAAAAACAGTCCTCCAGCCTTTCATTCTTCAGTCTTCAGTCCTTCATTCTTCCACCTTTCAACAATCTTTACATGCTGCCAATCTCACTTTTTCACTTTTCCCCGCACTCACTTTCTCTTTTTGGCCATCCTCCTCTCCGATTACAAGTATGAGTAATCCAACTATGAGCTTATCCTCCAGTGTTTCTCTTCATTTGTGTTCATTGTCTCACTGTTTAAAAGGTGCTGAAAATATGAGCCCACTCCGAGGTATCAGCTGTCTTTTGAACCGTGCAGAGCCAAAGGCTTGAGATTACTATCTAAATACTAGGGAGTGTAACTCAAGCTGGGAAGTTTTATGTGTGTCTTTATATGTTGCCTGATTCTGTTCATCTTAAAGGACAAGTGTTTTCTTTTTTTGCCTTTGATGATGACAAGCATTTTGCATGTGTCTAACAGCATGCTGGTTTGATATTTCACACTGTTTTCAATGGACAATTGTAGCCAGTCACTTATCAGTCAGCTTATAACCATGTTCCAGCTAGCCTTGCTGTATATTATTTCATACTGGGATATTTTAGATGAACCCCCATTTATCTGCTGTCTACATTCTGCTTATTAGAGCATTCAGAAATACAGTACAGCAGAAATCGTCTTTGTTCTGTATGTAAACGCTTACTATACATGTGCCTAAGAGGAGAATTGAAGAGACTTTTTTCTTGTGGCTGTTGCTTGTACTGATTGAGGCCTTTATGTAAACCCTCAGATCACTACAGAGGAGGGGACAGTGCCATGCCTGCCACCATCCCCTATAACCAGCCCCCCGAGCCCAACCCTGCTGGAACCTACAGCAGCTCGGACAGAGGCAGCAGCACGTCTGGTAAGAGATGGACACTAGAAGGAAGTGCTTTATAAAACCACTTCAGAAATATATTGTTGCTGTCAGAATCAAAACTATGAAAACGGTTGCTATTTAAGATAAGGAAAAATATTTGTAACTTTTAGGCCCAATCCCATTTCTTATTTTTACCCCTACCCTTTGTTTTCAACCCTCAAATAAAAATAGCTTTACTTCATTAACAGGCTTCTAATGGTGCTCTGTAGGTGACCCTGCCAGTCTGCAGTGATAGCAGAGGAGCTGTAAAGTTCAGCAACTTCTCTGCTGGTCTTTAGATAAATTTAGGGAATCTTCAAAGAGGGGAATGTGACAATTATTTATTATCGCCCACCCCTAATTCTTCAATGATATGAAGCTGAAGTCAGCTATTCGCCAGCTTCGTTTGAATTTTCCCTGTTCCACCTTAAATGGTGACACCAGAATGTAACTGCTGCATCATTTAAGGTGGAACGAGAAAATTAGCTAGCTAGCTACCGAGACATCAGCATACTAGTAGTTTTTATCCTGACAGTGACAATATGTAACTTTTGATGGGCAATGCATGTATATAACTGTGTATATGTATATATGAACCTATTATCCAGACCTCTAATAGCAGTAGACCACACGCTGTGACCCCAGGTGGTATAGTGAATATGACTGTGTAGAAGGAGTCTACAGAGACTCTTTTTGCCAGGAGAGAGATTACCAAGACTTTAGTTTTCAGCTGAGTGCATTTAAGATTTTAATTGTTTATTATTTCCATTATTATTACTAAGCTTTTTTCATCACGCAGCCCATAAAAGTCCCATTTGGAACCCAGCATCTCATAAAGAGCGATAAATCATATTCAGAGCCTGACACCTTCAAATTGCTTTTCCTGGACGAGGAATAACAGTGGAATTCTAGGAGACAAAGAAGAGCATTAATGTCTGACCAGAACGAATGGGGAGCCGTTCTGGCTGCCTCTGCTCTATCAGGTGTGCGGTTACGCGTCTGTAACATCTCAGTAAGCGACAATGTGTGTAAGCCTAAATGCTAAGCCAGTGCTCCCCCAGGATTTCCGGGACAGATTACACTCGATGGATAGAGCATTTTGGGGTATCCCCCCTCTTGCAATTTGCCACACAGCCATTAATTACCTGAGCTTTCATCTCCCATCATAAAAAGGGGGGATAATGTTGTCAGAGCTGTGCAGTTTGTTGTAGGACAAGGACAAATGACGGCCATTCTGCTGTGCATGCAAGGCTGCCAGCGTAATGCATCCTATCTATTTTTATATTGTATGTGAAGTTCAGGTAATTAAAGAGAAGACTTCAGTGCATGGAGGCCTCACAGCTCATTGGCTCTGAATCCTAATGCTTTGCTGTTAATTGGCCTCTGATGCTTTTCTCTTTCTTCCTTCTTCTTTCTCTCTCTTCCCTCCTCTCTTTCCGGCAGTGGAGAGATTATTAGTTTTGAAAAATGGCTTCTTTTTGGAGAGTCTGGCATTAATTACAAATAAAGGGATAATGCGCTTGAGCGTTTTACACTGTATAAATTATTGAGAGGCTGCTATTAGTGTTGGAGTGTAAAATTGTCACACCCGCATCAGGCTCTGGAAAAATGAGCCTGTGTTTAGTAATGCATTTTAATCTGCCGCCAAATGATTTATGAATTTTGCAATCAGATGGATTTCGTTCGTCTGATGAAGGGAACGTGCTTGTAGTGTGTGCGTATCTCACTGTGTTCTGTGTTTGTCAAGCAGGTAGTCAAGGGCAGAAGAAAGGGGTGCGGACACCTAAACTGCCTAAACAGAGCACAATGAACTGGGCTGACCTGCTGCCCCCTCCTCCCGTCAGCCCACCCCCGTGTCAGGATTACAACCTCTCCATGGACGACAGGTGGGGAATGTGCAAACGCGCATGCACACACAATTTTTGAGAAATACATTTGAGTGCAGAGTTAGCTTTCAGCTCCAGTCTTTGGCATCCTCTACGTAACAGACTTAACTTGTATTACCAGACCCCACCTAATTTTAACATGGAATTGAAGCATTCATGTGCAGTCTGGTAATACAATACAAGGAAACAAGTAATTGTTGTATAATAATTCAGTTCATTGAGCTCATCGTCTATGCAAATACAAGTTGCAAATTGTATAACTTTCCAGCAAATAGACTTCATTCAGAAAATGTTGCCCATCGTTTGTGTTCTGTCTGCTTAACTCCTTAAAATAACAGGCTTATTACATAGTAAACATTATTATTCAGTAACTACAGAGACTTCAGTGCAAAACAGTTGGGTTATAAATGTGTGTAATAAAACCTTAGGTCTACTTCTGGGCCCTGGCTATTGAATGGGTTAAAGGCCTATACTGTGCATTGTGCTTGGAACCGGATGATTGCCGCCAGCAGTGTAATGTGTAGACAGTGGCTTAGCTCTTATAGCGTCCGAGACAGTCCACGAAAATCAGTGTCTTTTCCATTAATTTGGTTTTGGTTGCAAACATTGATAATTTGCATATATTAACCTTCCTACACTCACAGTTTGAAAGATATTGAAAAAAGATACCTGAATATGCTTAAATGAAACCAGCTTCACTGCTCACAGCTCTGCTCTCTTTTCACGGTTTGTTACTCTTCTGTTCCACAAACGTTCCATTTATCAGTATCATTAAGACACTGATTTCCAGTAATGTTAGTAAAGTTAGAATTATCCAGCACTAGTAGCAGTCCGGAAACTTATCCGCTTCATGAACTGTTAGTTTAACTAGTAACTTAAGTTAAGGGAAAGTTAGCTAGATAGGTAAACTGTAGAATTTCATATACCAATAAAAGAGCTTACTTCAAAAATCTGTTTGCCACTGCAGCATGTAGTGATACGGTAAAAACATGGTAACTAGATACCGTCTTAAAATAACTACTGGAGAAACACGGTGGCATTATCTTAGTTCTGATTGGCTTGTGAAAATAAAATACTGTATTTGTGGATTGGCCGAATAAATGATCAAGATCTGATGTTGGTGAAAGGGAGAGTCTTCAAAATGTTTCTGCCTTCTTCCCCAAGTTAGAAACTCTTAAAATGCATTAAGTTTGAATGTATAACCTAAAAACCTTGCATTCTTATTACTTTCACTTCTTTTACTTTGCAGTAATATGTAAAAAAATGCATTATATAAATATATAAAATGCAGTTTTATAAACAAAATGCACTATTATATTATTAGTATTTGTGAAAATGATGTGAACGATTCTGTGCTGTGTGTCTCTGGTGTTAGCTATGAGGCGGAGCTGCAGTGTCCTGTCCCTCCGTCCCGTATGTACCTGCAGCCTGATGAGCTGGAAGAGGAAGAGGCCGAGATGGAGCGGGGTCCTACGCCCCCCTTGCGGGGAACTGCCTCCTCACCTGCCGCTGTGTCCTACAGCCACCAGTCCACTGCCACACTCACCCCCTCCCCACAGGAGGAGCTGCAGCCCATGCTGCAGGAGAACCCAGACAGCCTGCATGAGCGCAGGTACCAGAGCCAGTCTGAAGAGATTAAGTTTTATTAAAGAATGAATTAGTGAAAAAATGCTAATGTTACTAATGAAATGTTGGTAAGGAAAGCTATTACTAAGCAATATTACAGATGAGATATGCTCTCTGTTTTTTTCCTAGGTTTCATTCACTGTTAGCTGTTAGTGTTTTGGGTACACGGTTCCTTTGAAGCTGCTGTTAGCTCTTAGAAGTCTAGAGTTACTGGGTTTTGATATGCTATTTAAATATAATAACATAATTATATAGTTGTAATTACATAATAAGTATGTAGTTTCACAATTAATTACATTTGCGTTAAATTGGCATTGTTTATCAACTGTTTCAAGTGTGCTCTAGTGTTTTTATGTATTTGTTGAGATTCTTTCTGCAAAACATGACTGTACACATAACTTTCTGTCAAATTCTAATTATGATAAACTATCTGCTGTTTTGCTTGCAAACACAGTCATACTGTTGATTGAAAGTTTGGAATCCTCACTTTTCAGACTTTCATTGAGCTGCAAGTAAGAAATAATTAGTACAAAACATTTGTTCTTTCAGCTGGCAGCTGCAACATTTAAAGCTTAAATGTTACAGTGACAGTGAGCTGATTTCTGTACTGCTCTCTGCTTATCTAACCACTGTTATTTTTGTGATGTAGTCTTCAATTCTCTGTTTCTCTGTTGTTTCTTCAGACGGCAATTGGTTAGCCCCCCAGCTCCCCCACGGCCCCTCTCCCCTCCTCACACATATGGCTACATCTCCAGCCCACTGGGCCTAGACACGGACGGCCTGGAGGAAGAGGAGGATGAGGAGGAAGGTGATGAAACAGATGCGGAGGTGGCTCGGGTGCACCAGCGGCGCCACCAGCAGCACCCAGCTGCCCAGCAGCATGGTGGTCAGCAGAGGCTGCTCCTGCGTGGACTTGAGCAGACGCCTGCCTCCAGCACCTGCGACCTGGAGAGCTCTGTCACTGGTTCCATGATAAACGGCTGGGGCTCAGCGTCCGAGGAGGACAATGCCTCGTCTGGCCGCTCCAGCGTCGTCAGCTCCTCTGACGGATCCTTTTTCACTGACGCAGACTTTGCCCAGGCAGTGGCTGCCGCCGCGGAGTACGCTGGCCTCCGAGTGGCAAAGCATTCTGGGAAAGGCCAGCAGCAACAGACAGTGCCTGGAGGTATTTATTACTAATATACTGTCACATCAGAAAAGTTCCTTTTTTTTTAAACCAATAGCAGCTGCCTCATGACAAAAGGATGAAAATTACTTAATAAAGCCTTGAAGGTCTAATGGCTGTAAAATATGTTCACCTTTTAGTCCATTACTATAAAATAGTATAAAAATAGTTTTGCTTTTGAAGTTTTTTAAAGTTCACATTAAAATTTACCCTTTCAGCAAAACCAGGTTTTCTTATAACATCACCAATGTGAATGTGCCCTTTACATGTCCATATATTACTTTTAGCTACTGTGTCAGTTCTGTTCAATATGATAATATCTACTATTAAATTTATCCTGTGCTGAGACTAGCTTGCCTGTGGCTACTGATGCCTTTATTTAATCAGTGAGACCTAATAATTATATTTAGAAGCTTTATATGATTTTTAAAAAGGATTGTGTTGCTTACCCAATCTTCTTAATGCCCTGCAGCACGAAAATACCAAAACCTGCCTTCAGGCCACCGTCCAGCAAGTCCATTGTCTACGGACAGTAATATGAGTGCAGCTGTTGCCCAGAAAAGGCCTCAGAAGAAACAGAAGCAGCAGGCAGCTGGACACTCAGGCTACCAGCGCCGAGAGGTCTACACAGACGGTAAAGATGTACTTTTTTGATAGTTATAAATGGTAGCAGTGCTTAATTTGTATACAGCACATGAGAACCTTCATCTTATATTTTTACATAATCTATTCAGAAACTGGTCGCATACAAACATGCACACAGCAGTTAGATGTACATAGACTTGATGTGCATTTTCCAAAAAAAAAAAAGAGTATAATTTGAAGCTGGCAGCTCTCTTTTTGCCACTGTGGCTGTTCTATTGGTTTGTTATGGGATCCTTGCAGCATTGCTTTGGCAGTATGTGTAAAATGTTACAGACAACTGACAGTTTCCATTGCTTTTATCCAGAGTCCTCACAGCTTGACAAAGTCTCTTTCTATTTGGTGTATAGTTTTACATTTCTAAAAATACTTGTCATATTTAAACATGAATAGGTAAAATGTGCATTTATAAAAAGTGCTGGTTGATACAATGCAATTAGCACCAAAATCCTTTCATATGCAGTTTTGGACTGTTCTTAATTCCTTTACATTTCAGGGAAAACAAATCATTTTCTCCACTTTATATATCATATTGCAAATTCTTTCAAGACGTAAACATTTGCTTGTACATCAAAACCATGACCATCTTTCTAAAAGTCCTGTTTTCCTTTGATTTCACAAAATAACAAAAGAGTAGTTGGAAAATATCTCTACATGAGATATTATACCCAGCATTTCTCAAAATGAGTGAAACAAATTACACTGAATTTTCACAGTACAATTGGCAAAACACATAAGGCCTTACCTTTATGAGCATTTTTGCACTGTTCTGAAGTTCTCCCAGTTTTCACAAAATACTTCTTAAATAAGTTTGGAAAAGTCTTAATATAGTTTATTATTTGCAGAATCAGAATTATTTCTCAACCAGAATCACAAAAACACACAATAACACTTAAGTCAGTTAGAAAATATCTCCACACTATGTATTACACCCAGTATTTCTCAAATTGATCTTAAAAAAACCCTTGCAATTCTTTACCAAAATTGGCAAAACACATAAGGCTGTAGTCTTACCTTCATGAGCATTTTTGGTCTGTTCTTAAATACTCCCAGTTTTCACACAATAACACTTAAATTACTGGGGAAATGTCTCAGTATGTTTTATAATATCCTGTATCATCTAAATTGGTCATAAAATCATTCCTAATGTCTTCACCAAAATTGGCCTCACCTTAATGAGCATTTTTGGACTGTTCTGAAATTCGCTTAAGTTTTGCAAAATAACACTCAAATCCAATGGAAAATGTCTCCACATGGTTTATTACATCCAGTACATATCACACTGATCATAAAAATCACTTTGTATTTCTTCACCAAAATTGCCAAAACACATAAGGCTATAGTCTTACCTTCATGAGCATTTTTGGTCCTTTCCTAAGTTCTCACAGTTTTTAAACAAGAACACTTGAATCAGTTGGGGAAGTCTCAGTAAGCTTCATTATATCCAATATTATCTAAATTGACCATACAAATCATCTTATATTTCCTCACCAAAATTGGCAACATACTTAATGCTATAGTCTTGTCTTCTTGAGTGTTTTCCGACTGTTCTGAAATGTTCACAGAATAACACTCAAATCTGGTATAAAATGTCTCCACATGGTTTATTATATCCAGTACAATTCATACTGATCATAAAAATCACCTTGCGTGTCTCACTAAAACAGATAAAATATGTAAGGCTATAGTCTTATCTTCTTGAGCGTATTTGGACTGTTATGAAATTCTCCTAATTTTTGCAAAATAACACTCAAATCCAATGGAAAATGTCTCCACATTGTTTATTACATCCTCTACAGTTCACACTGATCATAAAAATCACTTTGGCAAAATTGCCAAAACACATAAGGCTATAGTCTTACCTTCATTAACATTTTTGGCCCATTCTTAAATTTTTCCAGTTTTCACAATACTTAAATCAGTTGGGAAAGTCTCAGTAAGCTTTATTACATCCAGTATCATCTAAATTGACCATATAAATCATCTTATATTTCTTCACCAAAGTTTTCTACATACATAATGCTATAGTCTTATCTTCTTGAGTGTTTTCAGACTGTTCTGAAATTTTCTGAATTTTCACAGAATAACACTCAGATCTGGTGTAAAATGTCTCCACATGGTTTATTACATCCAGTACAATTCACACTGATCATAAAAATCACCTTTGCATGTCTTCACCAAAATTGATAAAACACATAAGGCTATAGTCTTACCTTCATGAGCATTTTTGGTCTGTTCTTAAATTCTCCCACTTTTCACATAATAACACAAATTACTTGAGAAATGTCTCAGTATGTTTTATAATATCCTGTATCATCCCTCAAGTCTTCATCAGAATTAGCCTCACCTTCATGAGAATTTTTGGACTGTTTTGAAATTCGCTTAAGTTTTGCAAAATAACACTCAAATCCAATGGAAAATGTCTCCACATGGTTTATTACATCCAGTACATATCACACTGATCATAAAAATCACTTTGGCAAAATTGCCAAAACACATAAGGCTATAGTCTTACCTTCATGATCATTTTTGGCCCATTCTCAATTTCTCCCAGTTTTTTACACAATAACACAAGTCAGTTGGGAAAGTTTTAGTAAGCTTTATTATATCCAGTATCATCTAAATTGACCATACAAATCATCTTGCATTTCTTCACCAACATTGCTAATACACATAAGGCTGTAGTCTTACCTTCATGAGCATTTTTATACCTTTCCTAATTTCTCCCGGTTTTCACAGAATAACACTCAGACCTGGTGTAAAATTTATCCACATGGTTTATTACATCCTCTACAATACACACTGATCATAAAAATCACTTTGCATGTCTTCACCAAAATTGCCAAAACACATAAGGCCTTACCTTCATGAGCATTTTGGTCTATTCTGAAGTTCTCTTAATTTTTGCAAACTACCACAAAATTTGGAAAATGTCTCCACATAGTTTAGCACATCCAGTATCATCTAAAGTGACTATAAAATCACCTTCCATTTTTTTCACCAAAATTGGCAAAACAGGTAAGGTTATGGCTTTTTTTTTCTTTTGGTCCATTCTGAAGAACTGCAATTTTTTTTTAAAATTAACAAAATACATACTATGTGAGTAAACAATCACCCTGTAATGCATCACCAAACTTATCTAAACACATAAGGCTATAGTCTCACTTTTGTCCAAGTTAAGAAGCTTTAAAAATCTAGTTTTTTTTTTTTTTTTAATCAAAATTGCCACAATGCTTATGGCTTTAGAGTTACCTTTATGTGCATTTAATAACCCATAATTCCCATGTAAAAAAAGGAAATGAGTTGGAAAATGTCTCCAGGTAGTATATTTTTCCAATTTGATGCATCATCTTTTTCAAAACAAACCCTTATTGGCAATGCCCCCCCCCACACACTTACCAGGCAGCATACACGGACTCCTCATGCCCTGCAGTGGGGCAAACACTGGGCATTCACACACTCTGCTGGCTGGGTTTCATTTTCCTCTTCTCCTGGGCCTTCAGAAAGGTCAGTGCATGTGTGTGTCTGTGCACGCTCACCGTCATCAGCTGGGCTTCATCGAGTCACTTGTCCTTGTGTGCTGACATGGAGATTTAATATCAGACACACACAGACCCCTGCCTGATGTCTCAGATCAGATGCCCCCCTTCCCTTGCTGCACACCCTTCCCTCTGCTGTAATCTCTTCATCTCTCCATCTCTCCCTCCCCCACTCTTCTTTCCTGTCCATTTTTTTCCCCCATTTTCTCCTCTTCCATCTCTCTGTTGCCTGTGGACAGTTGAAGTGCACCCTCACCATGCAGCTTTAACTCTGTTAGAATCTATAAATAAAAGTTATTAGGTGTACTGGTGATCTGGGATTTATGCATCTAGTGATTATTAAACCCTACCAGTGGCTGTATATCAGTCGAAAGAATTCATCTTTACTTGTGTCTAAAATAAATATACTGTTGTCTGTCTGTCATGCTGTACTTGACAGCATTTCTAACTCACAGATGCGTGTGCACCCACACAGTCTCTCCCCCTTCTGTTAATTTTGTTCTTGTTTGTTCAGTACTTGGGCAACACCAGGCTTATTATCTGCTGCTCCTGGAGCTCTGCTGCATAAGGCCAGTGTCTCTTTTCTTCAGCTGCCTCTCCAGCCTGTGCAAACTGAAGCACACGCACACATCCCAGCACTTCCCTTCTCATTTAATTCAAGCTGTTCAAAGCAGTTTTACTGACCTCATTACTAATTACTATTCTTTTCTAGTAGCTTTTCCAAAACCTTTTGTCTTTTACTGTCATTCCTTGATGAGAGCAGCTAGTATTAATAGGGTAGAATGCGTTGTCCGTAATGCGTTGTTAGTGCAGAATTCTGATGTGAATTTATCAGTTATTTATTTTCATAAGTCATATTTGAGTGTAAAGCAAGTTGGACATGATCACTTTTTTCATTCAACCTCCTCTTTGGAAGCAGAGATTTAATACATCCAGTGATTTCACTGTAAAGAGATTGGGGACACTACTTCAGCAAATTAGGCCAGAGCCAAGAGGCGCTCTATAAAGCAGGGATCCATCCTGCACACTCCCTCCTCATAAATCTAGCCGGCACCCTTCCCCTCCCGCCATTTGCACTCTATCTCACAGCATGGCATTGATCCAGAACCTGACTGCAGCACGAGGCGACGGACACATTAAAAAACTGCCGACGTGTCCTCCCTTCCTCACTCACTATCGACAAGACCCTGCTTATAGATTCCAGCGCTGGCCTGTGTGTCATGATAGCCAAGAAAGTGTATTAAAGCTTCCACTGCCCTCTCTAGTGGAGATGGCAGGCTTATTTAAATGTGTAAAAGTGTGTAAAATATTAATGCAGTTGCTGCTGGTGTTTAGAATGAACTGAAGCATGTTGTGAGGCATTACTAGAAAGATTGAGGAACTGCGCTGTTTATTAAACTCCTCAGGAAGATAAAAAAGTAGGGATATCCTAACTCCAGAAAGCTGACTAAACATGATCAGAGGTGTTTCAACAAAACTGTTGCCTGCCTGTTCTGTACACTCTAAATTATTTAGATTTTTGGAGCTTTATACTTTGCAGAGGTGTTGCTTGCAATAAATAATATGGTGGAGCAAAAGCAATAGAGAAAGCAGAAAGGGACCGGTTGCACTAGCTACACACAAGTTTAAACTAGTTTTTCTGGGGTAAAGTTGTTTACTGAGTTACGCTTTAAATTGAAAGAAGTTGCAATGTACCTAGACTGTGTGCATGTTGCTTATATATACAGTACCTGTAGTTGATCTTAGGTAGAGCTGATGCAAATGGTAGCTGGCTGCTTACCGTGTTCGCTAGTTATTCTACAGCTGGCTTGGACTGCCGGGCTTCATGTGCAGGGGAGGAATGGTCACAGCTGTGAGAATGGAGATGAAGGCACACTGGTACAGCTGTGCTTCTCTCACACCTTACAGGTGCTAGACAAATGAGTGCTGGAGTCAAATTAGCGCACTGTCAAACACAGCCTGTGAAGGGCACATTCTTCTTAATGTGACAGGAATTGCAGCACAAGCCAGCACACACACAGTTATAGTAAACTGCTAGCAAAAAAAATATCACACAGTTCCAATAATACTCCAATAACTCTTGTGCACACAGGTTCTTGAGTAGATTTTAGTTGCTGCAAGTCCACTGTAGCCAAGCAAACAGGACTTCTGAATGGAGCACATAATCTATCCGAAACTGCGTTTTATAGTTAGTAAGGGTAAGCTTCCTGGCTATGAGAGAATGTGTAGACTCAAGCTTTGTTACATACCACCATCTGAAAACCAATTTTGGATATGCATGTCTTTAAACTGTCTTAAGAAATAAGGGCCTGCAGATTTGCTTTGACAGTTAATAAGACTAAAGACAGAGAGAGACAGAAGATTTAATGAATCAGTCTTCATAGTAACAGACAAAAAACACTCTCTGCTTTGTGCTTTTAAAATTAAAATTTAAAATTCCTATTTTTTTTTTTTTTGGCAAAGTTTAATTCTGTCTTTTTCCCCCTCATTTTTTCACCCCATAGACCTGCCTCCTCCACCCATCCCACCTCCATCCCTGCTAAAGTCTCCCACTCACCCAGGTAAAGCAGTATCAGAAGGAGGATGGGGAGCAGTGGCTCCCAGGTCTAGCTCAGCTGAGGGCAGAGAGAAGAGAGCAGGACCGGGTCCAAAGCCCAGAGATGCCTCAGACACACGAACCAGCTCATCAGAAAGGCGAGACGCCCAGGACAAACTTAGGGCTCAGAGAGCGGGGAAAGCCAGCAAACAAGAACAGAGCACAGGCAGCAAGGCCCGCCAGCATCCAGGTACAGCAGCTCCAGCTGTAATGCAGCAACATATTGCATGTTTTTCTTTATATTAGGACAGCATTTCCCAGCTCCAGTCCAAACTATCCTTTTACTAAATTTGGTTGCACCACAAATCTACAAGTCATGTCTTAACTAGTAACAACGAATATCACTTTAACATGGCAAAAACATGTTCAAAAAGCACCTATAAACCTGCTGCCATGGAAATGTGATGGCTGTTGCTCTGATTTTTTAACAGAAAAAACATCCAGCGTAAGAGAACATTACATAGTTAAACCAAGTAAAACTAATTATCTACAGCCACTGTCTGTTTATTCTTTAATATTTCCCTGAGACAGCTCAACATGCTGCTTTTGAAATGACAGTTTCTGGCTAACAGACACAATAGCAGCCTCAGTCTAGACTTTTGGGCAGCTGCTCAGTCGCACCGAGATGGGGTGTTAGCTTCATACTCTGAGTTAAAACAAGGGTAATTACACCTATAAGTCACAGCATATAGCATTTAGAATTTTAGCTTAGTTAACCAAAAAAGGTCTATGCTTTTTCTATGCTTTCTATGTGGTTTCCGACACTTAGGGGGAGGTGTAAGTTAGTTCAACATTGAAACTAGTTTGTGTGGTGCAACTGATTTAGTAATGCAAAAACCTGAGCTTAGTGATGACTTACATTACAGCTAGCCTATTGTTGAACTTAAACACAGCTGGTGCAACCAGCCATTGAGGCACATCATTACCTAATTATCAACTCATTTTTGAGCAAATCAGGTATGTTGGTAAACACTGACAGGCAAGGAGGCTCCCTGCCTTAAACAGTTTCTGCTATTTCCTGCCCGAACACATGATCCAGCTCATGAAGGGCTCAATAAGCCGTCGATGAGCTGGATCAGTTATGCTAAAACAGGGAACAGCTGAAACTTTGCAGTGCTTTGGATCATAAGGAGCAGGATCTCTAACAAACCCCAACAAAGGGTACATATTGTGTGCCATATTTGTGTACAACATTGACATTCTAATGTTTGTTGTGGATGGCTGGGTCTTTGTCCACCAAGCTTAAGTCACTGATGTAGAATAACATGTTTGCTCTGTACCTTTTTCTGATTCAGAGGACATCCTGCCCTACAGCCGCCCCTCCTTCCCAGCCGTCCACAGCCCTCGAGGCGACAGAGAGCCTAGCTCTTCCAGCTCTATGTCCTCCAGAGGCTCTGGGGGCAGGAGGAGAGCAGAGGGAGCACCTGGGAGCCGCAGGAACCCACAAGACATTGGCCTCAACACCATAGGAGCCTTTCAGCCAGGAGAAGAGGAACTGGAGGTACATACATCTACATCACTCTTCAGACTGTAGACCAAATTTTTCTTTGTAGGTAACTATTTCTTTGAAATCATTTTTAAGAAAAGTCTTGATTATTTAAAAAAAGTTTTACAGGGCCCTGTTTACATACTAAAAATTTGACTGGATAATCTCTAATTAGTGATAACTAATTAGAGATTCTAGTACATGCACAACAGTGCCGAACTGGCCCAGCTTTGGGTACAGCAGAAATTAATATACCTTTATGAAGACTTTTTAAACATTTCCATGATCTTTCTTCACAGATGGTTGAGAGCTGAAGTTGAAATGGAAATGCTGTCAGTGTGGACGCTATTTTAGTAACTATCTTCAATTTTAACCATCTCAACAACTGTTTTTTTTTTTCCATAATTACCATTGTTGGATTACATCACATCCTGAAGACTGACCAACTGTTAATTCTTTTATTGTGCATTTAATGTTCATTAAAAAAAGAAAAAAAAAAAATATTAATGGTGCATTCAAGGGTGAAATCAGTCATAGCAATCACCATTTGTTCTGTTTCAATGCAATATGGAGTAAACAACTACTCCAGGTACTAAGTGTGACTTCATTCACCAAGGCTGGAACATTAACAAGTCCTCAAAGTCAGGCATTACTGTTAATAATATTAGCTTCAAGCAGAAAAGGGATGGACTTACTTGTAAATAAACATGTATACATGCCTAATTGTCTTTTATAATCTGTGTGGTACTTTAAATTTGTCTTCCTTGGCTTATTTGAATAATTTCAAAATTTTATTATACCAGTAAATATAATTGTTTTTAATCACCCCCATCCTGGTTGTAAATTGTCATAATTTGAAATGTCCCAGGAAAGTGCCACATTTGAGATGTTATTTTCTTTTTTCCTTTCTTTGGTAATGCACTGTTATTTTTGTTGTTTGTCGATGTTTGTCGTTATTTGTTTGACTTTGGTTTTAAAAGCACAATCACTAAACTTTATTTTGAACCATGTTATCGATTAACCTTTTTGTCTTACGTGAGAACAGGTACTGTATGACAAAAGGCTTCGTTAACCCTGATGACGTAAGAGATGATGATAAGCTGTTTACAAAGGGGTGTATGAATGGAAACAAGACCCTGCGTCCTTCTCTCTTAGCTCTTTGCTAGATTCTCTCGCCAGCCCTGATGAAGAGCCTCAGATTTGGAAATGTTACGTTTATGCATTGTTCTATCACTGCACCTTCATTTATTAAACTGATTTTTCCTCTACATATGCACTTAAGGAGACTTGAGAAATTAGGAACTGGGCAGTGGCTTGAGAATCTGGAGGAAGTGTGATTGGCCAGTCAAGGGCCTTTAAGTTGGGCAGGGACACTATCAATCACCTTTAAAGAGGAGAGGATGCACGTGTTTACTTATAGGGCATCTGCAAACATTTGTTTCTTAAAGCAAAAAAACATAAGAAAAACAAACAAAAAAACAATAAACAAGAATAATTGAAAGGATTTGTGTTTTGTTATTATTTATGCTGCCAACACAAGCGACTGTACACCGTTAGTAATAAAGGTTCTTTGCAGGTACTTTTTTGCTCATCAAGGTACAAACAATGTAAATGTTCCCTCAAAAGGTACAACAGTGGTTTTAAAGTCCTTAACTTAAAGGTAAGTTATAATAAGTTTTTCCAGGTGAAAAGTACATATTTGTACCTTTTCATAATCTAATATTTTAAAACAGAACAATAAAATAAAAAGCCTGGAGCCGAGACGGGGTGTGTGGAGTCAATACAACTTAGAAAATATAATTTCAATGGATTATGGTACAGTTATGTTCCCTGACTAAAGGTACTGAGAGATACCCTTGAGGATACCAGTGACAAGAGGGGCACTGCCCCAATGACAGTTTCATACCTTTATTTCTGAGAGTGTACTATACTGTTTAGTATTTCTTTAGCAGTGATTACTTTGAAACCACAATTTAGTTTTACATAGTGAAGACAGTAAGAAAAGATGAACAATGAATACATTGTGATTCATAACTATTGAATTCTATCGTCATACAAACAACTGAAGGACAGGCAGCATAATAAAGCTATTTATCATAGTACTAGGATGGAACTAGCCCAGCAGATTACATTATCTTTATTGACCCTTTATCACTGGCATAATGAAAAGCCCTCGTACCTATAAACTTAATGATATAGCTGTTGTCATATTTGAACATGAAATCCATTTGAGCCTTCATTATCTCAAGGACCACAACATAATACTGCAGATGGAACCCAACAAACATTAAAAACTCAAAGAGAGTTATAGTTTATAGATATTTCCTCAGGTGAGGGAAGTAATTAATAGATGCTAAAACTGAATTAATACTTTGTTTGCGGTTTGCAAGACACCAGATCTGTGTGTGTTCACAGCAACTCACTAAATCACTAAACCTACATAGATGTGATGAATTAGATTAAGGTTAATATTTAAAAAAAGATTTTTATAGCAACATTATAGCACCACCATGTAATATCAAATACTGATGGTTAATATAGTATACACTCAGAAATCCTAAATTGGCAGGTAGGTGTCCTGAATTCCTGCACATCCCCCTGGCAATTCTGCCATCTTGGTCTTGTCTATAAAGGCTGTTTCGCCCCAGGTGTTCCCCTAATAAGCACCCATCTAAAAGAGAACAAATTTGGAGCAGTAGAGAACTTCCCCCCTCATCCTCCATCCATCATTTTAATGAGCCCAGTTGTGTATGTGCTTTGCCCATGAGTTGCAGGTGATTAAAACTCTCACACACACAGACTATCTCTATGATGTGTGGAATATATGCATGATATGGAGATCAGTAACCATATATAACATATGGCTATTAGGACTTACCTGGCTGTACCTGTGTCAGCCATTATTTTTCCCCATGCTAGCTGATGCACCGTTATAGTCCATGTGCTGAAACCAGGCCAAGCTGAGGAGACAACTTCAATCCATCTGAAAACCAGGGGGAGGCTGCATAGTAAATGATGGCAACACAGTGTGAGAAATTAATGTGATTGAGTGTTAGAGAAGCATCATTTATTAGACGTAACACTTATTAAATGTCACCTACCTTTTGTATAATTACACCATATTTTCCCCACATTGTGCTCCTCATCTCTGTGCACAAATGAAAAACCGCATTATCCAGACGGCTTCAAAAACACACTCATTAATAGGCAAGACAACAGTTGTCTAAGTAATAATTCTGCATAAAAGTCTAATCTTCATCTGTTCCCCTTACTTCAAATGTAGTCAACCGGCCAAAACATGTTTGGTAACTGAAATTTGCTTCTTTAGTTTTGCACTGGAACTATGAAACTAATGTAGCTACCAAGTAATGGAAGCTTATACGCCACCAATGAATACTGTGCAAACTGCATGTCTGAATCTTCACACAAAGTTGTTAAGTCATCTCAAATACACTTGGTTATGTATAACACAGTCATCTATGACAAACATCAGACTTCAAGGTCGCTACAAATTAATTTTCTTTCTTTTTTTTTTTTTTTAAACAATACTAATTTGCTACTGCCATTTTCAGCTATGCACTATACCAGGGGGCCGGCAACCCGCATGTCAAGAAGAGCTATTTTGTCAAGTTTCAACAAAAATCTAACCATGTTGGGAGCCACAACATTTCCATTTTACTGAAGTGATGTTCCACCATCTTGGCTGTAAATATGTCTCAGTAGTGCTAATGTCCAAGTATAGGCTAAAAAATGTAATATAAACAAAAGACTTACTTTAAAGATTCTGCTTTAAACTTTAGCTCAACTATAGCCACCTTTCCCACATCTCCAGGAAACCTTTCTGCAAAAGTAGAATAGGTTCTTGTAAAATGTCTCTTAACGTTTGACTTTTTACCAGACTGAAGTCAGCTTCTCATTGTTTGAATTTTCCCGCTCCACCTTAAATGGTGCCTGAGGCGCCAGAATACAGCTAACTATGTAGCTAACTATTACACCATTTAAGATGGAACGTGAAAATTCGAACAAGAAGCTGGCAAGCAAGAGGCTGACTTCAGCTCCGTGACTTTTTAGTGGTTGGCAGTTTTCCATGCAGATTAAACGCATCAGGAAACCAGCTGAAGTGATTACAAATGCAAAAAAGTCAATTTGTCTCCAAATTATTCATGTTCCTCTTAAATCTCTCCCTTTGCCATTTCTTTAGCTAAAAAGCTAGACAAGATTGTATATGCGTTGTCTGTGAGCCAACCTTCAGGGTTAAAGGGCAAATAAGCAATTATAAATACAACTTCAGCATATAAGACAGTGTATTGTTAAAACTGTGTTAGAACGATAATCAGAGCTTTACTTTACTGCAAAGGAGGATTATTTTATTTATACCTTAAAATCTAATTCTGCTGTGGAGCCTCAACAGGGCAGCAAATAAGCCGCCCCTGCACTATACTTTTGTCCATTTTTATAGAAAACAGTATTGTTTGCTAACCAGAAAAACTGAAGAGACAAACTCCCCAAATATACCAAATATGTCTAGACCAATCAACTACATTTGAGATAAGTGGAAAACGGTTTGTTAACTGAACTGCTGCTTTAACTTGTAGGAAAAAGACCTCCACCTAATTACCTTTGTTGTAAAATTGATACTGCCCCCCCCTCTTACACCCTACCCAAAATGGTTTGATTAGCCTTGCACCCAGATTGGGAGGTAATTAAAAAAAGCAGCTGCACACTGTCAGCCAGCTCATCTCTGTCACTTCTCTCCCAGCGGAGACACTGGCGCAGGCCATCTTCATGCTGCTGCTCACCCTGAACCTACTCACTCTTACTATTTTATTCATTGCATCTTCTCCTGAGATTGAATAACAAAAGAACCCCACTTACAGTAATCAGCATTCTGTTGTGAACCATTGTGACAGGTGTGCTCTGAGGAACTGCTAAAGAAAGATGATTTTCAATAAAAATAAGCTGTCAGTGAAAATTCCTACAGGTCAAATGAATTTTATTTATGAAATTAAACTAGGAATACTGAAGTGTTTTTATTTTGTTTTTTGAAACAAGAGGTCCAAACTGCAGTTGTTTTCATAACCCTTAAGTCATTCCATTATCTGTATTCACAAGAGTGCCAGTCAGTCTGGTCCACCTTAATTTAGTGACGTCCATGGCCTCATTAGCCAAAGAGTAGAGCTTTAGTCCAGCTCTACAGCTCCAGCCCTCTCTCAGCTTAGCCCACTGCCATCACTGTTCACACTGATGTAAGCTTTCTCCTCCCAGCTCATGAGTTACGGACAATTTTTCATCCTTCTAATTATTTTTCATCAATTACGTTATAAAGTTCCATCTCTCTGCACTCCCCTCCGTCAGTGAGATGCTTAGCCAAATTTATGAAAGGAGTCCTCTGCCAGAACTGGGGCACTGTAACGAGCCAGATCAGCACAGATTGACAACGAGTTTGTCATCACTCCCATCACTGGGCCTGTACAGTATGAATAAATGGACAGAGAAGCTGTCAACAAATGCTGACAAAGTAATTCTGTTCTATCTTCAGGGAAATTAATGACTTGCTCAGAAGATTATCTTGCCTGTATGAAGATATAATTTAAAGAGATGTGAACGTCAATTTACTGTAATAGTTTTGCACAACATTTTAATGTCATCCACTGGCCAGGCAAAGTTTTACCCAAGAAGGCCTGTGTTCCACTCTTCACATACATGTTTGGGGAAAACAGAAGATGGTTTCTTTGCAGAGTAATAAAACTCAAAAAAGACTGTGTAAGATCGACTCTAGTGTCAAAACTGTTACATGACTTACCATGGCTGACCTTTGCCCACCTCTATAACATGAACCACCATACAGTACTGTGGCAAAGAAAATTATTCAGATACAAATAATTTTAATACAATAAGCAGTGATTATCTCAATGTGCTCGCTCAACTATTTCCAAACCTGGTGTCAGTCTAGCATTATTTGTATTCTTCATCCACTACCTGGTTTTGCTAATCAATAGTTAATTAAATTACATCAGGTGTGCTGATGACTGAATTAAACAAAACTAAACAAAGTCATGTGAAGGCTGGGGGCAGTGGGGTGAAGCTGGGAACCAAACCTGTGTTGTTCTTACTCGGTCACAAGATATCAATTACTTTTTTGAAAACAAGGTATTCTTATTACTTTTTACCACATTGTTTGTATTCATCCTCCTGTTTTATAGTGTTTTTACAGGTAAAACACTGATGCTACTTACAGCCATCCAGGTTGTGGACAAAATAACAAACAATTCTACAGTGTTAAGTGTCTAATAAGGAGTAGGGCCAGGAGTGAGGTCTTTGCCTTTAAAGTAACAATGTACCTTAACTGTGAGAACTGAGTTAATGAATCGAGGCAGCGTCTATATCTTTGAGGGATAAAGTTCCATAAATAGGCAAAGATAATTACATATGGTGATTTGGAAGGCCACAGAAGTCTTCTGGGTTCATGAAGGCACCCTAGTGTCCATGAAACCACCCTTA